ACAGCAAGGTGACAGGATACAAAATCAACTTACAGAAATCATTAGCTTTTCTATACACCAATAACAAACAAACTGAGAAGGAATATATGGAAACAATTCCATTTACAATAGCCTCAAAAAAAAAAAATCAGATACCTAGGAGTAAACTTAACAAAGGATGTGAATGACCTCTACAAGGAGAACTACAAACCTCTGAAGAAAGAGATTAAGGAAGACTACAGAAGGTGGAGAGATCTCCCGTGCTCATGGATTGGTAGAATCAACATAGTAAAAATGGCTATACTACCAAAAGCAATCTACATGTTTAATACAATTTCCATCAAAATCCCAATGACATTCATCATAGAGATTGAAAAATCTACCCTAAAGTTCATTTGGAAACACAGGAGACCACGAATAGCCAAGGCAATACTGAGCAAAAAAAGCAATGCTGGAGGTATCACAATACCCGATGTCAAACTATATTACACAGCCATAGTAATAAAAACAACATGGTACTGGCACAAAAACAGACATGAAGATCAGTGGAACAGAATAAAGGATCCGGATATGCCCACTTTATTTTTGACAAAGGTGCCAAAAATAAGGAGAAAAGACAGCCTCTTCAATAAATGTTGGGAAAAGTGGTTATCTGTATGCAAAAAACTGAAACTAGATCCATGTTTATCACCCTGTATTAGTATCAAAATGGATCAAGGACCTTAATATCAGACCTGAAACTCTGAAGTTAGTACAGGAAAGAGCAGGAAACACCTGGAAGTAATAGGTATAGGCAAGGACTTCCTCAATAGAACCCCAGCAGCTCAGCAACTAAAAGAAAGGATGGACAAATGGGACTTCATAAAACTAAAAAGCTTCTGCTCAACAAAAGAAATGATCTCTAAACTGAAGAGATCACCCACAGAGTGGGAGAAAATATTTGCCAGCTGTACAATGGACAAAGGACTGATAACCAGAATATACAGGGAACTTAAACAATTAAACTCTCCCAAAATCAATAAACCAATAAAGAAATGGGCAACTGAACTAAACAGAACTTTCTCAAAAGAAGAAATTCAAATGGCCAAAAAATACTCACCATCTCTAGTCATAAAGGAAATGCAAATCAAAACCATGCTAAGATTCCACCTCACCCCTGTTAGAATAGCCATCATCAAAAACACTACTAACAACAGGTGTTGGCAAGGATGTTGGGAAAAAGGAACCCTTGTACACTGCTGGTGGGAATACAAGCTACTGTAGCCACTCTGGAAAAAAATTTGTAGGCTTCTTAAAAATCTAAACATATATCTGCCATTTGATCCAGCAATACCACTCCTGGGGATATACCTAAAGGAATGCGACACAGGTTACTCCAGAGGCACCTGCATACCCATGTTTATTGCAGCGCTATTCACAATAGCCAAGTTATGGAAATAGCCAAGATGCCCCACTACTGACGAATGGATTAAGAAAATGTATTTATACACAATGGAATTTTACTCAGCCATGAAGAAGAATGATATCTTATTATTCTCAAATAAATGGATGGAACTGGAGAACATCATTCTGAGCGAAGTTAGCCAGGCTCAGAAGACCAAAAATTGTATGTTCTCCCTCATATGGGGACTTTAGATCTAGGGCAAATACAGCAATGTTGTTGAACTTGGGTCATATGACAAGGGGAGAGCACATAAGGCAGGTAAGGGGATAGGTAGAAAACCCAAAACATGAAAGTGTTTGATGTCCCCTCTGAGGAGGAACTAATACAGAAACCTTAAAGCGACAGAGCTCAATATGAGAAGGGGATCAGGAACTAGTGAAAAGGTCAGTTAGAGATGAATCAACTCGGGTTGTAACACATTTGTACATGAAAGCAATGCTAGGAATCTCTCAGTATAGCTATCCCTATCTCAACTAGCAAAAATTCTTTGTCTTTCTTAATATTGCTTATGTTTTCTCTTCAACGAAATTAGAGATAAGGGCAGAACAGGTTGTGCCTGGAAGAGAGGGGGAGTGCAGGGGAAGAAGGAGTAGGTGGGGGGCAAGGGGGGAGAAATGGCCCAAACAATGTATGCACATATGAATAAACAAATTAAAAACAAAAAAGGGTTTGCTTGGTTTGTTATTGGCTTTCCTTATTGCTGAGTTTCCATCCAGCCTTTTCAAATTTGCTGAACACTTATCTATCAGCTGTCCAGTTTCAAATTTGTGTCTGATGTTTCCTCTTCCATTCTCTTTGTTCATTTGAATTATGTCTTTTAAAATAAGTTCATTTACTGCCATTTTAGGAGAGTAAAATGAGTTAATGTATACATTCAGTTTGCCATCTTTAACTGGGATCGTTTATTTTTTAAAGATTTAGGTTAACTTGTGATTTCAGTCATACAGAAATTTCCAATTTGTATGTACTCAGATATGTTTATCTCTTTTTGTTATGACTTCTGAGTTTTCATTAAACCTACAAAATCCTTCTTTTACAAGAAATTATAATGATCTTGTTTTATATTTACTTCTAATACTTTTTTAGTTTGATGTTTTATATAATTGGTTTAGTGTATGTTGAAGTTGTAATGATCTTTTTCTAAATTGCTAGCTGATTTCTCTAACACCCTATTGAATAATGTTATTTGTCTAATATCCTGTAATGTTTTATATTTTTACTTATTGTGGCCCCATTTCCAGTTTCGATATAAATCCATCTTTTTTTTTTTATCTTTCTTAGTTTAAGCACCAAAAGCTCCCCTCTTTTATGGAATCTAGTATATATACTTGCAAGTAGTTACCTCCAGATTAAATCAGTATTTTTAATGATTTTTGTACTGCTATTCTTTTTTTTTTTTTTGTAAATTACATTTTTAAACGAAAAGCCTTGCTATTTTCTTTATGGAGAAATTTTTAATTACCTACTCAAATTCTTTAATAGTTGTAAGAGTATTCAGGTATTAATATTTCTTTTTTGTTGAGCTTTGGTAATTTTTGTTTCTGTGGTATTTTTCCATGTGCTCTAAGGTTTCCAATTTATTGGTGTAAGATTATTGATAACAGGCCCCTACTATCTATTTAATCTTTTTGATTATGTCCCACTCTTAATTCCGAATAATGTTCATCTATCCCTGTTCTTTTTCTTGATCATTCTGACTAGAGGTTTGTTTAATATTATTAGTTGCTTCAAAGAACCAATTATTAGCTTTCTTGATAAAACTATATTTTATCTTTGTTCTCACTTTTATTAAACTCTGCTCATACCTTTATTACTTCTTTCATTCTACCTTCTTTGGGTGGAAACTAACTTTTATCGTAAAGGTTGATTATCCCTAACTCAAGACTCCAAAATCCCAAATGCTTCAATGTCCATAAATTTTTATTGTTGTTCTTGAGCAAGTCCAGGGCCTTGCTCAATTAATCAGGTATTGTACCACTGAGCTATTCCCCCAAGACCCAAATCCAAAACTTGGTGAGTGCGACATGATGTCATATGTCACAGACAAAATGCAATTAAAAATATTGTTTAAATTACCTTCAGGCCATGTTTATAAGGTATATATGAAAAATAGAAGAATTTTGTGTTTAGACTTGGGTTCATTCCCTAAGATATCTCATTATGTATATGCAAATATTCCAAAATCAAGAAACAAACCAACAAATAAAATACCAAAATATTTCTTGTCTGAAACATTCAGAAAAGGTATACCCAACCTGTGTAAGCATTTAAAGATACATATTTTGGCCAGAAAACACATGAAAAAATGCTCACCATCTCTAGCAATAAAGGAAATGCAAATTAAAACCACGCTAAGATTCCACCTCACCCCTGTTAGAATAGCCATCATCAGCAACACCACCAACAACAGGTGTTGGCGAGGATGCGGGGAAAAAGGAACCCTCTTACACTGTTGGTGGGAATGTAGACTAGTACAACCACTCTGGAAAAAAATTTGGAGGCTACTTAAAAAGCTAGACATCGATCTACCATTTGATCCAGCAATACCACTCCTGGGGATATACCCAAAAGACTGTGACACAGGTTACTCCAGAGGCACCTGCACACCCATGTTTATTGCGGCACTATTCACAATAGCCAAGTTATGGAAACAGCCAAGATACCCCACCACTGATGAATGGATTAAGAAAATGTGGTATCTATACACAATGGAATTTTATGCAGCCATGAAGAAGAACGAAATGTTATCATTCACTGGTAAATGGATGGAATTGGAGAACATCATTCTGAGTGAGGTTAGCCTGGCCCAAAAGACCAAAAATCATATGTTCTCCCTCATATGTGGACATTAGATCAAGGGTAAACACAACAAGGGGATTGGACAATGAGCACATGATAAAAGCGAGAGCACACAAGGGAGGGGTGAGGATAGGTAACACACCTAAAAAATTAGCTAGCATTTGTTGCCCTTAACGCAGAGAAACTAAAGCTGATACCTTAAATGCAACTGAGGCCAATAGGAAAAGGGGACCAGGAACTAGAGAAAAGGTGAGATCAAAAAGAATTAACCTAGAAGGTAACACCCACACACAGGAAATCAATGTGAGTCAATGCCCTGTATAGCTATCCTTATCTCAACCAGCAAAAACCCTTGTTCCTTCCTATTATTGCTTATACTCTCTCTACAACAAAATTAGAAATAAGGGCAAAATAGTTTCTGCTGGGTATTTGGGGGGGAGAGGGAGGGGGCGGACTGGGTGGTAAGGGAGGGGGTGGGGGCAGGGGGGAGAAATGAACCAAGCCTTGTATGCACATATGAATAATAATAAAAAAATAAATAAAGATATATATTTTTCCTATTCTTTTTTTGTACATATAGTACAAAAATTAACAATCAGGAATTTCAAAGTATGAGAATCTCAGAATGAGAAAAGGATCTCATTCTGACTTCTGAATTGCCTGTCAATTGTGCCTAAAATTCGCAGTACTTACCATGTCACAGAAATATGGTTTTGATATGTACGTGGGGAAATCATACATACTAATACTGTTTTCATGGCATCTTTGTTTTATATAGGAATCACCTTTATTTGATCTTATTAAACAATCAAAGGACCGAGAAGGACCAGCTGATCACTTTGAATCTGCTTGTCCTGTCAGCCTTCCTCTCCAAAATAATCATACTGCAGCAGATATGTAAGTAGAATATATGTTATGTTATCCATACAAACTGCAAATGGGTTTTGAGCATAAAGGCAATGCAAGACTATACAGAAGTTAGGGAGTAGAATTTTGCATAAGACATTCTGCTTTTAAGAATTAGGAATGTATGCTGGTGGAGTGGCTCAAATGGTAGGGTCCCTGTATATCAAGCATGAGGCCCTGAGTTCAAACCTCAGTGCCACCAAAAAAAAAAAAAGAATTAAAAATGTAAGATATATGGCTTAATACAAAGTGCTACTGAATCACTTAAGATTGGCATAATGAAGGTAGTTTTCATGGCAGAGATGGCAATTTAGAAAGGCCTTAAAGATTGCATGGATTTTTGGCATGAAAACTGTCAAAATGAGAAGAGACAGAATACTGCCAATGACAAGAAATGACATGAACTCATAATAGAGAAGCGGGAAGCATTCTTCAGAGAGAGCATATCACACCATTTGGAGCAAAGCATGGGATAAGTCTAGGGAGTAGTCCAGAATATGGGCCAACATGTTTGATTACTGCACAATAGTTATGATGAGAAAAGAAAGGGCTTTTTTTGAGAGCTCACTAAGTGCTGGGCAGTTGCCTGAGTACTTTGGATTCATGTTTTTTGTTTAATCTTCATGCAAACATTAATACCAATTAAGTAATTAGCTATTTGAATCTAGAATTTAAGTGTGACTAAGTTGTGCCAAGTAAAGTCAAGTCTATCAGGGGACTGAAGGAGGGAAGTCAAAGGAGGCTAGGTGCAGACACTGGTAAAATAACTATGCTAGTGAGTCTGTTTAGTTAATGCACTGGTTAATATACTGTGTGTAGTAGAAATTTCCATATTGGGGTTTTTTTGTTTTGTTTTGTTTTGATTGATGGATTGATTGATTGATTGTGGGGGGAGGGTACTGGGGATCAAACCCAGGGTCTCATGCATACTAGGCAAACACTTAACTACTGAGCTACATCTCCAGCCACAGAAATGACTATAGTAAGGCACAAATCCTACTTCCTGTTCAGACTTATTTCTCAGCTACTAAAACAACAATCAGAGGGGACATGAATTATCTATCCTCTTAGATGGCAACACTGAGCAATAGAATTGCCATAAATTAAAAGAAATATTTGCTAATATTCCTGCCTCAATTTATGCCTGGCATATTTAGTATACAGGTATAAATCTGTCTTAATGATGTTATTTGAAGTATTAAGTGATAGAATTCTATACTGTATGATTTAAGTATGTATCACTTGATTCTTAACAAATGTAAGAGTCACAGCTATCAGTAAAAATTTAGGAGGAGAATCAGAGAAATATAACATTATTTGGCATTAATTTGTTAAGCTGGACTCTTTTATGATCTCAATACTACTATTAGTCTATTTTACTAATTTTTAAGATAAATAATTAGCACATTTAGCAGTTTTTTCCCAATAAGTAATTCCCAAGAAAAACTCATATTACAATAAAGTTAGATAAGATGATGTCAAGCATACCTTTCCTAGTAAGCTATCTTTCCCAGCTCCTATTTAAATAAAATACTTAGGGAATTTGGTATAAAATAACAGATCAAATAGGCAAGATATATATGAGTGTATGTGTACCACTGTGTGAGTGTGTGTGTGTGTCTGTGTGAGAGAGAGATTCTTAGCAAATGCCAAATGAAGACTTTTCTTTGCATATATTTAGGTATCTTTCTCCTGTAAGATCCCCAAAGAAAAAAGGTTCAACTACACGTGTAAATTCTTCTGCAAATGCAGAGACACAAGCAACCTCAGCCTTCCAGACTCAGAAGCCATTGAAATCTACCTCCCTTTCACTCTTTTACAAAAAAGGTTAGTAGGAGATTACTTTCAAGAACATGGACTCTGAAATGAGACTGACTAGGTTGAAACCATGGCTCTTCTTCTTACTATGTGTGACCTTGAGCAAGTTATAAGTTGTTTAATAGCTCTATGCTTCAGTTTTCTCATCTGTGAAATGGAAATAATAGTAATAATAATCATCTACTTTAACAATATTTACCTTATAGGGTTTTTGAGATAATTAAATGAATTGATACATATACACCTATGCATATACATATATATATATATATATACATATACATATATATATAAAATGCCTTCAACAGTAGCTGCTGAATAATATGCACTCAGAAAATGTTAGATATTAATGTTGCTGCTGCTACTGTCGTTACATCCTCAAATTAATGTTTGTAAATATTTGCCTCAATATTACTTTGCTGTTAAACTATTAGAGTGGAGATTATACAGTGTGTTGTTGCCTAGTGCACACACATTTCCTGGATATTTTCAGGACATTTAAGAAGTCAAGTAACCAGGTGGTATAGTGTTCTCTGATTTTGTACATATGTGGTGGTTGAGGGAGGTTGATTTTGCGTATCTGTGCATATGTATATACATGCAAGTTTACTTGGAGCTCTTTGAATGAGAGTGAAAGGCCAGATTCCTTGTGGTACGACTTTTTCTTGCGTTTTTTCAAGTCAAAAATGTAGTGAACCATACAATCATACCCCTAGGTTTGGGTAGTCATTCTCAAAGGGCAGTCCCCAACCAGCAGATTCAGAATTTGGAGGCCTCATCTAAACTTTCATTTTAAAGAAACCTCTAGAATAGGATCCCAGGGTCTTTTTTTTTTTTTTTTAAACAACCTGTTAGGCAAGTCTGATGTATGGTACAGTTTTAGAACCACTGAGACAAATTGCTAGTTTTTAAAAGTTCCGTTTACCTTATGTAAGCCTTTAAAGGTACATTTTAAACCAGTAGTCTGTATTTAAAGTAGGTGGGCAAAAAATTCAATTTTTTAAGGTTCCTTCTGTCCAACTTGCATTTATAATACTATTTTAAATAAACCCTAAATTAAATTCAAATCACAGTTATGTTTCATTTAGATAATCTGCATATCTGCCATTTTTCAAGAGTGTGCTCTATTGAAACAGGTCTTTTCCAAGAAGATGGGTTCTCGTGGGAGGGGGAGGGCATAAGGAAAGGGTGAATGAGGGTGAACATAGTGGACGTATTTTGTATTCATATGAAAATAGAAAACTGAAACATGTTGAAACTGTTCTAAGAAGCGGGGAGGGTGGGTGAGGGAGAATGATGGGGGGGGTGAATCTAAGATTTATCGTAAGCACATATATAAATATCACAATGTGTATCCCCTGTATAACTATTATATGCTAATAATAAAAAAATAAATTTTAAAAGAGTATTCTTTGTTGATATTTTATAGACAAATGCATAGTATGATTTTTTTTTCTTTTAGGATTAGAAAAATTTATAAACACTGATAATTCCATTAGTTTTAAAATAATTATCCTTCTTGACTATTGATAGCAATAATTTCTAACATTTGTGCTGAGTGGTTACCAACAGAACTAAAGCAAACCCTATTTGGTTTGTCTGATTTCACATATTTTTTACCTTTATCTTTCACCTCTGCCCCAGTTTCATGACATAATAGTTAATTCAGCATTCATTGTACCTTATGTTTATCTAGCACTCTGCTAATACTAGGAATCATTTATTCATAAGGAAAATAGTGGTAGAGGTGAGATTACTATGATAATGCTATTTAAGGGCTGGCAGAATGGCTTAAGTGGTAGCACAGCTGCCTAGCAAGTGTGAGGCCCTGAATTCAAATCCCAGTACCACAAAAAAAAATCTTATTTAATAACATTATGGTTAAAGTAATTTAATGATTTGGAGGAAACCCACTTATAATTGAAAATGAACAGTTAATATAATTCATTCCCCTTATGTCCACAGTGTACCGGCTAGCATATCTTCGGCTAAATACCCTATGTGCACGCCTTCTGTCTGACCACCCAGAGCTAGAGCACATCATCTGGACCCTGTTCCAGCACACACTGCAAAATGAGTACGAACTCATGAAAGACAGGCATTTGGACCAGGTACGAAATACAAGCGCTTCATCTTTTCTTCGCCCTGTTTACTTGTAACTATGTACTGATTTCTTTAGAAAAAATTGGATTCAAACGAGAAGCTAGATTAACTTAGTACACACTTTGTATATATTCACTTGGTGGGTACCATTTATGTTTTTACTGTATTTTTTACAAATCAGAGCTTTAGCATTCAAGAATATATTTTAATAACTACTTACTTAATGACACAACATTCTTACCTATAAAAAAATCAAGGAAGAACCTACTTATCATAAGCTTTTTCTGTGTTGTGGTAAGATAGATTTCATTTTAGTACAAAAAGCATCAGACTTTAGAATCAATTGATCTAAACAGTCTCTGGTGACTGAATGAGGTTAATTTACAAACAGAGAAATATTTTTCATATCCTTTTTCTTCTCTTAAAAGGGATAATAAAGAACAATATTTGGTGGAGCGGTAACAGCTTATTGTCATATTCATACACCAATGTGTATGAATTTGTATGGTTACAAATCACATTCAGTGGTTCTTAGTATATTCACAGAGTTGTGCGATCATAAGCACAATCACTAAAAGCAAACTGTTAACATTTAGGAGTGACCTCCCATTCCTGCACCGCTCAGCTCTAGGCAATGCTAATCTACTCTCTATAGATTTGCCTAGTCTGGACATTTTATATAAATGGAATCATAAAATATGTGATAGCTTTGTGTGTGTGTGTGGTGCTGGGGTTTGAACTCAAGGCTTACACCTTGAGCCACTCCACTAGCCCTTTTTTGTGGTGGGTTTTTTTGAGATAGAGTCTCACAAACTATTTGCCCCACCTGCCTCCTAAGTAGCTAGGATTACAGGCATGAGCCACCTGCACCTGGCTTATAATATGTGATCTTAGTGTGTGTGTGGGTGTGGGTGTGGGTGTGTGTGTGGGTGGGTGTGTGTGTGGGTGTGTGTGTGTGTGTGGGTGTGGGTGTGGTGTGGTGTGGTGTGGTGTGGTGTGTTGCTGGGGATTGAACCCAGATTCTTACTAATGCTACGCAAGCAATCTACTAATGCTACGCAAGCAATCTACCACTGAGTTATGTCCCCAGCCCTGTGTTTGGCTTCTTTTATTAATAGGTCTTCAAGGTTCATCTCTATTAATAGCTTGATTCACTACTTCATTCCTTTTTATTGGCAAATATTCTATCATATGGATCGATGCTACATTATGCTTATCAGTCATCAATTGATGGACATTTGGATTGTTTCCACTTTGGGGATATTATGAATAATGTGCTATTAGTATTCATAAGTTTTGTATGGGCATATGTTTTCATTTCTCTTAGTTGCATGTCTAAGAGTGAAATTGCTGGGTCATATGATAACTCCATGTTAACCTTTTGAGGCGTGACCAGATTATTTTTCAAGGTTGCTATACCATTTTGCATCCTGCAAATAGCAAATAAAGTTCCAATTTCTCTACATCTTCACCAATTTGTTGTCTGTTTTTTTTATTATTATTATTATAACTATCCTAGTGAATATGATGCGGTATTTCACAGTGGTTTTGATTCTCATTTCCCTGATAGCTAATGATGTTCAGCATCCTTTCACATGTTTATTACCCATTTGTATGTGTTTTTAGAGAATTATCTGCTAAGATCCTTTCTTGCTGGTTATGGTGATGCATGCCTGTAATCCCAGCACTTGGGAGGCTAAGGCAGGAGTATAGTGCATTTGAGGCCAGCATGGTCTACATAATGTGACCCTGTCTTTAAATAAAACAATAACAACAAAATTCTTTCTTCATTTTAAGTTGGATTGTCTTGTTATTATTGAGTTGCAAGAATTCTTTGTATTCTATCTGTAAGTTCCTTAAGTGATATATAATTTGCAAATATTTCCTCTGATTCTTTGAGTTGTTTTACTTCCTTGATGATGTCCTCTGAAGCACAATTTTCTAATTCTGACAGAGTTCAGTGGATTTTTTTTTTCTTTTGCTGGTTCTGGGGTCTGAATTCAGGGCCTTGTCCTTGCTAAATAGGTGCTCTACCACGTCAGCCACACCTCCAGTCCTTTTTGCTTTAGGTTATTTTTCAAACAGGATCTCATTTTCTTTGCCTCTGCTGGCCTCAGACTCTGACCTTCCTCCTCCCTATGCTCCCACATAGCTGGAATCAGGCATGCATTACCATGCCTGACTTGTTTTCTTGAGATGGGAGTCTAACTTTTTACTCAGATTGGCCTAAAATATCAGTCCTTCCAATCTCTACCTCCCAAATAACTGGGATTATAGGCATGAACCACCACACCTAGCTTCAGCTAGTCTATTTTTTCTTTTGTTACTGGTGCTTTGGTGTTTTATCTGAAGTCATGAAGACTTACCCTGTTTTCTTCCAAGAGCTTTGTAGTTTTAGCTTTGACATTCAGGCTGCGGTTCACTTAGAGCAAAGTTTGTATGTAGAATGGTGTAGGGTCTACATCATGTTTTTATTGTTGCCAATGTTGTCAATAACTAGTTATTCTGGCATCATTTCTTCTTCTTCTCTTGTTTTTCTCTTTTTCTTTTTTCCAGTGTTGAAAGTTTAACCTAGGGCTTTATGTGTGATAGGCAAATGCTCCACTGTGCTATATCTCCAGCCCCCGCTACCCCAGTACCATTTCTTTCTTTTTTTCCTTTGTTTTTAAACTCTAAAATTTTATTTATTTTCTTAGAGTGAATTTTTATTAGCATAGTCCATGGGGGTTTCATTGTGATAATTCCATAAATGTGTATAGCAGCACCATGTCTTGAAAAGTCTTTTCTTTCCCCGTTAGCAGTTGTTGAAAAAATAGATTATGAATTTATAAGTGTTTATTTCTGTACTTTAAATTATGTGCTGTTGATCTATATAGCTCTTCTTATGCCAATACTACACTTAGTTACTATAGCTTTGTTATAATGTTTCAAAACAAGGAAGTGTGAGTGCACTTTGTTCATCTTTTTCAAGATTGATTTGACTATAATGAAACTTGGATTTCCACATGAATTTTAGGATTGACTTGTCAGTTTCTGCAAAGAAGATTTTGAAAGAAATTGCAACTTGGGGAGTATTGTCATTTCAACAACATTAAATCTTCAAACCCATGAGCATATCACAATATGCTTCCGTTCATTTCTACTTTCTGTAATGTCTTGTCATTTTCAGTTGTGTACTTGTTCTGTTAAATTTATTCCTGAGTATTTTGCTCTTTTTAATAATATTGTAAGTGGGATTATTTTCTTAGCTTCATTTTGGACTATTTGTTGCAAGTATATAAAAAGGTAGTTGACTTGTGTGTTGATCTTACACCTGCAATCTTGCTAACTACTTCATTAGTTATGATAGTTTTTAGTGGATTCTTTACGACTTTCTATACGTGAGCTCATCTCATCTGTGCGTCAACATGGTTTTGCTTCTTTCTTTTCAATATGAATGCCTTTCATTTCATCTTCTTGCTGGATTTACCTGGCTAAAACCTACAGTACCGTGTTAAATAGAAGTGACTTAAGAGAGGAGCTCCTTGTCATGTTCTAAATATTGTAAGAAAGCATTCTGTTTTTTCACTATTAAATGTGTTATTAATGGTGTGTTTTTTGTGTATGTCTTTCATCATACTGAGGAAGTTTTCTTCTGTTCTTCACTTCCTGAAATGCTTTTATCATGAAACGGTGTTGGAGTTTTTTAAATGTTTTTATTTCCTTATACCTATTGAGATGATTGCAGGGTTTTTTTTCTAAGAAATTAGATTGACCTGTTGTATTACATTAAATGATTTTTAGATGTTAAATCCATCTTGAACTTCTGGGAATATATCCTACTTGGTCATAGTATATAATCTTTTTGATATGTTCTTGTATTCTGCTTGGCTATTGTTTTATTGAAAATTTTTGCATGTGTCATCTTAAGAGATATTTGTAATTTTCTTTGGTCTTTATCTATGTTTGGTATCATAGAACTACTGAATCAGAATTAGTTGGGAACTGTTCTAATTTCAGAAGAGTTTGTGAAGAATTATTATTGAGTCTTCTTTCAATGTTTGATAGAATTCATCAGTGAGGCCATCTGGGTGTGAGCTTTCATTTGTGAATAGTTTTTGATTCAAGATCAGACTTTTCTGTTTCTTCTTGAGTCAGTGTTGGTAGTTTGTGTCATGGTAGGGACTTTTCTATTTCACCTTAGTTTTCTATTTTGTTGGCATACAAGAATGTTGTTTTAAGCAAAAGATGGAGTTATTGTAAAGTATAACCTGTGTATATGCATGTTTTATAAGAGCATATTTGTATTTGTAAATTGCACTAGATTTTTTTTAAATCTAGAAGGATTTATTGCCTTCTGATCCTACTGCTTTCTATGATATATGAAGATAGACCCTATTGCTAACAATTTCTAGAAAGATTAGTTATCTGGAATCAAGATTTTCATAAGTGGTACCTTAGATAAAGTATTAAAGTAGAAGAAAAATGTGAATTAGCAAAGAGGATACTGAAAGGCATTTTAAATGTAAGGCCTAGTGGTTGTGGGACCCTTATACTAAGGAAGGGATGATAAGTAGGTATTCTTGGCACTAGTAGGTGTGAACAAGAATGTTACAGAAATGATGAGTACTTAAATTAGGCATGGCACTAGTAGGTGTGAACAAGAATGTTACAGAAATGATGAGTACTTAAATTAGGCAAGATAGTACATACAAGTTAAGAAAATCTGTGTGTGTGTGTGTGTGTGTGTGTGTGTGTGTGTGTGTGTGTGTGTGTGTCTGTGTGTGTGTTTGATGGCTCTGAGGTTTGAACTCAGGGCCTCATGCTTGCCAGGCTGGTGTTCTACCACTTGAGCCACTCCACCAGCCCATTTTTTGTGTTGGGTATTTTTGATATAGGGTCTGTCAAACTATTTCCCTGGGCTGACCTCAAACCACTATCTCTGCCTCCCACATAGCTAGGATTTTTACAGGGGCCTGTCTAAAAATCTGATGTTTTAAAGTCACAGGATATCATTTATAAATCTTATTTTTGCATTTAAAATATCTTTATTAAAATGTAATATATGAAAAGTCCATATATCATAAGAATACATGCTAATGAAAATTCAACTGAACTCACCTATATAACCTGCATTGAGATAAAGAATTGGAGTATAACCAACAATACAGAAGTATCTCTCTTGCCTTTTTCTGTCACTGCCTCCTTGCCAACATGAAATGTCTTCAATATATAATTGGTAATTATACAATTATCTAATTCCAGTTTCAGCACTTCTCTTCTGGTAAACATTAAAAAGTAGGAGCCAAAGTTAGAGTAATGTGAAAACTAGATAATCAATCCTGAATAATTGAGAGTTGACTGTTTGCATTTTGTTCTTTAAACACAAAAGTGTTCGGCGTAAACATTTCACATAGACTTTCACACTGAGCCCAGAATGGGAAAAAATAGCCCTATAAGAAATTAAATGTCCCTCTTTAAGACTAAGAGAAAGATAACCAATGTGTTTTTTAGAATAAAACCGTGTAATAAAATTCTGACTTTTCATATCACATTTATTTACTAGATTATGATGTGCTCTATGTATGGCATATGCAAAGTGAAGAATATAGACCTTAAATTCAAGATCATTGTAACAGCATACAAGGATCTTCCTCATGCTGTTCAGGAGGTAGGTAATATTTCATGGTAAGTTTTTTTGATAAATCTATATCCATAATATAGACAATTTCAGTCATTAATTATATCATGTATTCTGACCTTAGTATGTAAATTCACAAATCAAACTTTTACTTTTTTATCATTGGTTAAATATTTGTGACTAAAATAAAATTGGAAAGCTAAGGCAAATTATGAAATTACAAATTCATAGTTTAAGTTAGTAATACTATATCTGTACAATAAGCAGGCAATTTGTAATAAACTTGGCATAAGTAATAAGACATTAGATGTTCTTCTAGGTTTTTATTTAGGAGAAGCCAACATAAATGTAGCCTTATAAAGAAATAATGAAGCCAGGCATAGTGGCATGTGCGTATAATTCCAACTATTCAGTAAGCAGAGTTAGGAGGATTTCAAGTTTGAAGCCAGCCCAGGAAAAGTTAGTGAGACCCTGTCTCAAAAACAAAAACAAGCCAGGCACTGGCCACTTACACCTGTAATCCTTGCTACTCAGAAGGCAGAGATTAGGAGGATCATGGTTCGAAGCCAGCCTGGGCAAATAGTTCATGAGAACCTATCTTGAAAAAACTTACCACAAAAAATGGCTGGTGGAGTGGCTCAAGGTGTAGGTCCTGAGTCCAGTACCACAAAACAACAACAACAACAAAAAAAAAACTAAAGGCTTGGGCATGTCTGAAGTGGTAAAATGCCTTGAGTTCAATCCCTAATACCCCCTCAAAAAAGAAGAAATAATAAAAATTTCATGTTTCTAGTTCACCTTCCCTGTAAAGGAAGCAACAGTGGTAAAACACACTTAGTGAGCCATACATTTTATATACTTCCGTGGAAGGTGATTTCTTGGGTTATTTTTCCAGTTTATCATTGGCATTTTCAAAAGTAATGTAAAGCAAGTTGTTTTGGTTTATATATTTGGAGTTATTTTCTAAGTCCAGTCACTTAAATTGTATTTATCAGAGGCACCCTATAAAATCCCTGTGCTTTTACCTAACTAAAATGTAAATAAGCCAAGTGTGGTAGTGCATGGCTGTAATCTTAGCACTGGGGAGGTTGAAGCAAGAGGACTCCCACGTTCAAGGCCAATTTGGGCTATATAGCAAGAGCCTGTCCCTAAAAACAAGATTAAAAAAAAATAAGTAAAATAAAATTTAAGTAAAATCTAGCTATCAAAAAAAAATGGTGCTTTTACTAAGTGTCTGCCTCTTACAGTGGAGTAACACAATTCTTCAACCATTCTAGTTGGGGGAATGCAAAGAATTAGAGGGTGGAGAATGTACTCTAAATACTGATGGTTAATATTGTTGGCTTTTGCTCAGCTCTGGTCCTTTGAATGCCATAATGTTTTCTATCCTGCCAGTCTGTCTACTCCTCTCTTGCAGTAGTCGGCTGTTTCATCTGCTGCTGCCTGGCTGCTTCTCTAGAGCCTTCTGTGACAGTTCACTTTGGGTAGAGGACCTATAATCCAAGCTTTAGAGGGCTTCTTCAGATTATCATTTCCTGTATATTACATGTTTCTTATTAGCTAAAAAGTATTACAAACCATTAGAAAAGAAAAGAAATTTTAAAGAGAGAAATTCTTAAATTCATTCAAGTGTTTTATTATTCTTCCTCAGACATTCAAACGAGTTTTGATCCGAGAAGAGGAGTATGATTCCATTATTGTGTTCTATAACTCAGTTTTCATGCAAAGACTGAAAACAAATATTCTGCAGTATGCCTCCACCAGGGTATGTTGAAAGCATCCTTTGATTAGGGAAATCTAATGATAAAATCATGGATCTCACTAAACATTAAATCAGTCAATCTCTGTTTGGTTTTGTTGTAGCCTCCTGCTTTGTCACCAATACCCCACATTCCTCGAAGCCCTTACAAGTTTTCTAGCTCACCCTTACGGATTCCTGGGGGGAACATCTATATATCACCCCTGAAAAGTCCATATAAAATTTCAGAAGGTCTACCAACGCCAACAAAAATGACTCCAAGATCAAGGTTTGTGTTTTCTCTTTAGGGAAATGCTTAAAAAAAAAATAAGGGATTATTTCTATCTAAGCATAAAAATGTAAAGATTTCTTTGTTTAAAATAAGCTAGGTCCTTGAGTTTCTAATTTGCTTATTTATATTAAGTGACATGATAAAAAAAAACCTGTTTGCTTGGATTGGTTTATAACTTTAGTTCTCAACTTTCCCTGCTGCCGGGGGCTCTTCTTTTTGTAAATAGTCTGAGAATCAGTTTCCTGATATGTTTCAATACACTTCATATTTTTGTAAGTTGCAAGCAAAGATTACTTTAGCTTAAGAATATTTATAGTTTAGTGGATTTTCTGTAAACTCTTTCTGTGGACCTTATTAATTTTGCTTGTTTTAAAAATGGAGATGACTTACTAAATGGAGATGACTGACTGTCAATTAAGACTTTGGAGGCCCATCCTTAATTCGGCCTGTGGCTTCCTCACATTACCTTGGGCAGGTCTCTGTCCCTGCTTTGGAAGGGTGCTGTGGATCAGGGAAATGAGTATGAAGCTGTTTAAAATTCTTAGATGAAAGGTCTGTGCAACTACAAATCAGCATCTTCTCTGGCTTTGAAGTCCTTCGATTGACTAATTATATGTTATCATGGGCTATTTGAAACTGCCTTTATTTGTATAAAGTAGGAGGCAGATTAGCTGCGAATAGTTAATATGGTCTCATCTCAGAAATTGTCAGCCCATGTAGTTGTACGTAATGGGTGAGAAAAACAAATATGGAGAAGAGGTTAAATTAGCTTTTTAGGAAATATTTGTCTGATAGGGGTTTAATTACATGTGTACACAATTGTGATAAAAATTTCAAACTCTACAAAAGTTAGATTAAAAAACAGTTGGAAATATGATACAAGTCCTCTTATGTACCCCGGACGCTCCTTTATTTATTTGGCATTCTTATAGTTGGACATCCGTGTACTGACATCCACAACTTACATGGTAAGCTGCTAAGGTGCCACACCATGTCAATTTAAGTGAGTTTACACAGTCCCATGCTGCCCTATGAAATTTTTCTTTTTGATACATGCTTAGCATGCATGTGGCACTGGGTTTGATCCCCAATACCACACACAAAAAATACTCTAAAAGACCAGCTAAGTGTTTTATCAAACTAGCAGTATTAGAATAATTCCCTAATGAATATAATTTGTCAATGGTTTCTAGAGTAGAGAACCTTTGGCATGTTGTTTCTGACAGTCAGAGTAATGTGTCTATGTTCATCTCTGTACATCTGCAAAGTATGTATATGATTTTCATTACTAATTTGTATTTCATCTTAACTTGACAGAATCTTAGTGTCAATTGGTGAATCATTTGGGGTGAGTATTTTCTTTCTATGAAGTATAATGGCATAGAATATTAATTTAAAAATAAATGGCAATATGATACAAGTGCATTTGTGTGTCCTGTATCATCCTTTATTTGGTGTTCTTACAGTAATGTATCGGTATACTGATATTATTGCTTACGGTGCAAATATAAAAGAAATAAAAGATTTCTATTTAATTTATAAATGCCATTGTTCAAATACCTCATCCAGGCAAATTAATAGAATTTATCTCAGATTTCTTTTCAGACCAGTTTTTTTCAAATCACAATTGGTGAACTTCCAAACTGTTTTCTAAGCATTCCTCTAAGATTATATAAACGTATACATTCACATATATACACATGGGTACATATATAAGGTGGTTTTACTCACAACACTCTTGATGCAAAATGTGTTATCTATCTCTCTGGACACAACTGTTACCCTCAATTCAGTTTAGTTTTGACACTGATTCCCCAGTTAACATCAGACTCCACAAATTCAAGAGCTCAGTTCCAGCTGCCCTCACTGCAGATGCTAGTTGCAAATGTCAGGTCCCAGGTTACAGCATACTTCCTTCTGACTAAGCTAAAAGTCATAGAGTTTCCAGAACACTGCTCCCTTTCAGGTTGGATTATTTGCTAGACTGGCTCACAAAACTCTGGAAAGTGTTTTACGCACTATTATCAGTTTAATTGTAAAGGATACAGATGCACAGCCAGATTGGTGTGTAGGAGGAGGTCTAGAAGGGTCCCTAGCACAGGAGCTTTCTGGCCCTGTGGGGTCACCAGCTCTGAAGCTCTCCCAACTCTACTGCTGAGGACATCAATGGGGAGTTTGCTACACAGGCTTAACTGATTAACTCCATCTCCAGGCCCTGTCCCCACCCTGGAAAGTTAGGAGATATGGCTGAAAGTTCCTAGCTTCTGAGCAATGCTTGGTCTTTCTGGCAACCAGCCCTCATCCTAAAACTATGTAGTCGTCCAACAGCATCAGCTCATGAGAACAAAAGATAGGCCTGTCGTTATCACTCAGAAAATTCTAAGGGTGTTAGGTGCTCTCTTTCAAGAAAGAGGACAAAGACCAAAATATCTTTCTGTGATGCCACACGTTTATGTATATAATCTCATGGGGATGTTTCCAAAACAGTTTTGAAATTTGGTAATATGAGTATGATTTGAAATGAGACACTCTAAAATATGAAGGTACCATATCCATATGTCACCAAGCCTGTTCCTAACTACTGGTTTTCTGCTACCACCCCTCACTTTTGCTTGTTCTTTTTCTCAGACCTAGAATAGTCTTTCTCTGATATATTAAATATTGGTTACATGAGACCATGCCCCAGTGAAAATGGCTGGGCTTTTATGAGGGTCTTTGTTCCAGAAAATCCCAGGGGAAGCTCAGCTTTGAAATGATAATTTTAGGCTTAGAATGCCCTACTCTAGTGGGCCTTCCTTTAGTGTCTAGCAGAACATTGCCAATTAAGCAGTCCAGTCTGTATTCATTGTGTCATAATTATTATGTTGTACTACCCCCACTCTGCCAGATAGCTTATATTCTTTTTTAATTATTCATATGTGCATACAATGTTTGGGTTATTTCTCCCCCTTTCCCCAGCCCTCTTCCTTACCCCCTCTCCCCCCTCCCCCCTCACTACCAGGCAGAAACTATTTTGCCCTTATCTCTAATTTTGTTGAAGAGAGAGTATCAACAATAATAAGAAGGACCAAGGGTTTTTGCTAGTTGAGATAAGGATAGCTATGCAGGGAGTTGACTCTCATTGCTTTCCTGTACATATGTGTTACCTTCTAAGTTAATTCTTCTCGAACTAACCTTTTCTCTAGTTCCTGGTCCCCTTCTCCTATTGGCCTCTGTCGCTTTAAAGTATATGCTTTACTTTCTCTGCGTTGAGGGCAACAAATGCTATCTAGTTTTTTAAGTGTCTTACCTATCCTTATACCTTCCTTGTGTGCTCTGGCTTTATCATGTGATCAAAGTCCAATCCCCTTGTTGTGTTTGCCCTTGATCTAATGTCCGCATATGAGGGAGAACATATGATTTTTTAGCTTATATTCTTATAGGAGTGGGAAGACTGCCTGGATTATTTAATTGCTGAAAAAAAACTGCCTCCCAAATTAGTGAATGAAAACAAATAAATATTTATTATCTTGGCTTCTGTGAGTGAGTAATCAGAGCATGGCTTTATTGGGTCCAGAGTTTCTCACAAGGCTGTGATGAAGGTCTCAAAGTTCAACTAGAGCATCCACTAGCATACATACTCAGATAGTTGTGGGCTGATCCTCACGGCTCTTAGCCAAAGCCATCAGTTCTTTGCCACTTGGGCCTTTCCATGGTACTACTTGCCATTCACATGGCAACATGCTTCCCCACAGCAAGGGAAAAGGAAGAGAGAGGAAGAGCAAGATGGAACGAATATTGGAAATGACATTGTATCATTTCTGCCTGGTAACATTTTGGTTAGAAGCAAGACAAAACTAGGTCTAAGCCACACAGAAAAGGGAGTAGGATCCTACGAGGATGTGACTACCAGGAAGTGGAGCTCTTTGGAAGCCATTTGAGAGGTACGGACCACACTGCCCCAAATGAAGTACTAGAGGGGTAAAATTCTGAATGCTAAATGACCAAGTGACAAAGTGCATGTTACAAATATTCAGTGTTGTGATGTGTAGTTCAAGATGGGCTGCAGCTGTCAGGCTTCACAAAGGAAATATGGAACCATGAAAGTAGGGTTGGAGAGTTATAAAACAACGATCAAACTTTTTTCTTACCATCACCTCTAACATGATCAAGAAAATGATCTATACTTCCATAGTTTTACACTGAGTAACTAAAAATCTTACTAATAGGGGCACAAGCTTTAGTTTCTGCCATATTGAAGATGTGGTCTACATCAGTTTTCCATCAAAACCTGGTTTTGTATTTGATTTTTGCAAACCTGTCAAATCTGCCAGTCAAATTGATTTGATTTCTATCAGAAAGCCTCGCTTCATGTAAATACACATCCTTGAGAGACAGAGTTACCTCACTCGGGTTCTAAAATACGTAGCTAAGAAATGGAATTTCTGCCAATGTCCATTGTATGAAGTGTAGTGATGCACCCACTTTGGCACTTCTCTTTCCTTTTTACTGTAACAAAGCTTTTTTATGCTCTGCTGGGACAGTGTTCTCCCTCAGGAGACATCTCAGATCATCTTCAATGTATTGAATGCACTGAAATTATGATGTCTCTTGAATGTGTGAGGTTTTTTTAACTTTAAAAAGCTTTATGAACTAGCAGCATTTCAACAAATGCCATGCCATGTGGTGGCTTATAATACTTAAGCTGTAAGACTTGTCAACATAACACCCATAAAATAAATTAAAAAATTATTCACTGGACACATTATGTCTTACTAAAATTTTGTGACCTTCCCTCCTATTACATATACCTAAAATAAAACTGTCAAAAACAGGTTCCAGAAAACTGACCTGGTTCTGCTACATCTGAAGAAGCCCGTTCTGTGTGGAGCGAGTTTCAGGAATGAGGAGCTTAAGGCTTCGGAGTGTCAGAGTTGTGGGGGAAGAATAGCAATCTCCTGGGCGATGACAGGAGATTTAAAGGGCGTGGTGTTTAATGGGGGCAAAATTGGCATAGTCATTCTGAATTCGAGCGAGTTTTAGTATCTTCTTTGGACTGAAAGGGCCAAAAATTAAAATGAAGAGATTACTTCTGCCTCAAACTACAGTTTATAGTTATTATCTTCAAAATGCTGACATTTCATTATTTAAAATAAAGACCTCTGTAATTCATAGACTTCTGAGAAGTTCCAGAAAATAAATCAAATGGTATGTAACAGCGATCGAGTGCTCAAAAGAAGTGCTGAAGGAAGCAACCCTCCTAAACCACTGAAAAAACTGCGCTTTGACATTGAAGGGTCAGATGAAGCAGATGGAAGGTAAGTTCCCAGTAGCTGAGCTGGTCATCTGGAGAGAACAGAATGTCAGTGCTGCCCTAACTTCCTGCAGTCTCTTTCATAACAATTTTATGTGTGTGACAATGGCTCAAAATAGTAGGTATGAATGTAGCCCAAAGTCAAAAGTACCATTCAAACCATAGTAGATGTACTGAAATTCAGGGAAGTAACAGTTGTTAGCCACTGGGATTTTTTTTTTTTTCAAAGGTGTTGCTTTTCCTGTCATTGTCTTATTCTGGACAGCAGGAGCAGCCTTCACCCTCCAGCATCAGTGCTAGAATGTTTGTTTAGTTAAAGCACAGTTTCCTCACCTACTGTGTACTTCAGATAACCATTAATGCCATTCTTTTAAATGCTGTGACTCTTTCCAAAAGCTGTAGTTTCCACTGGAATATGAAGTGACTCACCCCTAAGTACAAGGTAGCATGATTAATGTACACATACCACCTCCTTGGGGATTCAGAAATGGGTTTTTAATTTTAGATAACAATTAGTAATATCATGCTATTTAAGCTATTAATGGTTAAGATTAGAAACATTTTGTATAATTTCCATATAGCCTATTCATTAAATAATCTCTGAACCCGTCCATTCAGAAAGCTTCAAATTATAGAAATAATGACCAATAATGCTTTGTTTGACTTACATTCTTTATTTTGCGATGAATTTGAGACTTGTAAGTCAAAAGACAGGAACTAATTTGCTGTCTACCAGTTTATATACAACGTAAAGTATCTGTAACTTTTTAAAACTAAGATCTATTAAAAAGAAACGTTTTAATAGATAATCATGTGGTGAAAATGAATTCGGACTTATTAAATGATCAACTTGTTAAATCTTCTCAGAGTCTGTCAGCATAGTAACACCCAGGAGAACTACTGAAGGTATACTGAAGAGATTTTAATGAATAAATTGCTATGGAAATCACAAAAAGCAATCTGATCATCTTTTACAAAGCAATTGATAAAATTCTGTTAAACAGCAGATTTAAAAATTCTTATACTTGAAAAATACTAATAGTGTGCTTTATAAGAAACAAATTTGTGAGCCATATTTAAATTTGTGACATTTTTATTTTTGATAGCTCATAAATTTTTGAGATTACAAGCCATCACCAAAAGCATAAAATGTCACTAAATGCAGCATAGTTCTCAGAAATTTGAGTTTTCTATTTATACATACACATATGAAATATATTTTGCTTTTTTAAATCTGCAGTAAACATCTCTCAGGGGAGTCCAAATTTCAACAGAAACTGGCAGAAATGAGTAAGTACTTACACTTCAGCTTACCTATATGAAAGAAACAATGATTTTCATCGCAAAAGCCTCTCACTTTATAAAATAATACACACATAATGAATTCTTCCCAGTAGCAGGCTTGTTTATACACTTACAATATAACTCAAACAATAGTCTATTATTTACCTAACACATTTTTGGACTAAATGTGTGCTACAAAGTAAGGAGAGGCTTTCAGCTCATCTTTGTAGGTTCTGACTTTGAGATGTAAAGTATTTAAAATATGCTTTTTGATTTTTTTTTTATTGTACTGGGGGTACATTGTGGCATTTACAAAAGTTATTACAATATATCAAATATATCATATTAGATTTCACCCCTCCATCATTCTCCTTTATTCTCCTCTCCCCCCAGCTTTTTGATTTCTTAAGCCTTCTTTCTAAGTGTATTACTGTGTTACATTTAAAATTAAACATTTAAAAATTTTAGTTTTACATCAACTAATATATTTCTAATTTAACTTTTCAGTAGTTGTGGCTTTTCCTCCCAGTACATGAAAGTAGGCATGAAGCTTATAACCAAATCAGACCCTGAAAATACTGAGAAGCATTTTGGAACCCACAAATATGCATTTTTAAAAGGATCAGAAAGCTGTTAAAACATGTATATTTTCTTAGAGAAGAGCTCAGTGGTTGTAGTCAGTCCATTTCCTAGTGACATACTGAGCTACGATGTTGTTTCCTCTGCCAGGCCAAAGTTCAGGGCCATTATTGTGCAGCTGGAAAATTGGGGCCAAGCAATGGGAGTTTTAACTCATGAGGCTAAGTAAGGCATTCTCCAGGATGCTCTTCAACTTGCCTAAAAGAATTGCATTCAAGAAGATCATCACATGATGCTGGATTGCCCAAGTGGAAGAGGGGGAAGTGTTTACAACTATTGACTATTTTCTTTCTTTTCCAAGTGTGAGTGTTCTTTGTCCTCCCTCTTTCCCTCCCTCCCTCCTTTTCTTTGTTTTTCTTTCTTCTCTTTTCTGCTGGGAATTAAAGCCCAGTGAGCTTTACCACCCCCATTCTTTTTCTTTCCTTTTTTTTTTTTTTTTGGTTTTTGAGACCAGGTCTCATAGCCCAGGCTGGCCTCTTAATTTACAATCCTCCTGCCTCAACCTTCCAAGTGCAGGGATTACAAGCATATATGCCTGTAACCACACCCACCTACCTACCCCCTTTTTTGTGGTTTTTATGAAGAATTCCTGCCTACCTTAAAGTTAAGAACTTTTAAATAATTTAAGTGCTTTGGTTTATTCTATATTGCAAATAATAATTACTTTTTAAATGTCCATGCTCAATTTAATTTTGTGGTATCTACAAGCCATCTTAAAGGCAATCCCTAGCTCTGTAGAGAATTCTCCAGCTCTGGTCTGCTCAAACTTGACATCATTTCTAGAACAGTAGTCTACAAAGCGGGGTACAACTGGGAATGTGCAAGATCATCTTTGAGAGTATGCAAAGAAAATATTAGAAGTTCTATCGATCTCATCTCATTTTAGTGGTTTTTGGGGGTATGTGTTTTCTAATTTATCTACGATACAGACAGGCAGACATTTTGGTGGTATGTGTTTAGAAGAAATTTTACTGACAGAAATATGATGTTTTGGCAATACTGGCTCTTGAACTGAGGGCCTTGTGCTTGTGAGGCAAGTGCTCTACCACTTGAGCCACTCCTCCACCTAGAAAATACAATTTAAAAAAATTTTAGCTGTGCATGGTAGTGCACATCTGTGATCCCAGCACTCTAGGATGCTGAGGCAGGAGGATGGCATATCAAGGCCAGCCTGAGGCTGGGCACCACTGGCTCCTGCCTATAATCCTGTCTACTTGGGAGGCATCGATCAAGAGGATCAAAGTTCAAAGCCAGGCCCTAGGCAAACAGTTCTCAAGACCCTATCTTGAAAAACCCATCACATAAAGAGGCTGGTGGAGTGGCTCAACTGGCAAGTGTGAGGCCTTGAGTTCAAAGCCCCCTGCCCCAAACAGCCTGAGCTAGAGAGACCCCATTTCAAAAATACCATAGGGGGTTCGGGGAGAAAACCACTGCTTTTGCAAGGTTCTGAGCTCCATTGATTTGACATGACCATAATGTATATGGCAGACCCTCATCAACCTACCCAGTGCCATCAACACTATTTAGCAGTTTGTCCTTTTTTTTCAGCATCTACTCGAACACGAATGCAAAAGCAGAAAATGAATGATAGCATGGATACCTCGAACAAGGAAGAAAAATGAGCATCTCAGGACCTTGGTGGACACTATGTACACCTCTGTGTCTCCCAGGATGAGACTGTGTAACTCTCCCAGGGTCTGTTTACAGCCCATTTAACATCTCCAGCTATCTGTAGATATGAAATGTGCAGATGCAAGTTGCATATTTATGTGGGTGATTCCTAAGCCACTTTCAATGTTGTGGTCAATGGTAGATATATTATTATCATACAAGATTGAAAATCTTGGGTAAACCATGCCATTTAAAAAGTAATGGCAGCTGGGCGGTGGTGGCTCACACCTGTAATCCTAGCTACTCAGGAGGCAGAGTTCAGGATGATCGAAGTTTGAAGCCAGTCCAGGCAAATAGTTCGTGAGACCCTATCTTGAAAAAAACCCATCACAAAAATAGGACTACTGGTGGAGTGGCTCAAGGTGTAGACCCTGAGTTCAAACCCCAGTACTGCAAACAAACAAAAACATAATGGCAGATTGTTTGCGTTTCCAAAGTATAATTACTTTTTAAAATTTCTCAGTGAGGCTGACTTTGGAGTGGGAGTCCTAACAGCCCATCCCGTCTGACTACTTTGCCCTCCCTTGTAGCGTATGTGTGATGTTTGCTCTTGTTTTTTTATTAATTTATATGTATATTTTTTTAATTTAACATAAACACCCTTAGAAAACATGTCCTACCTTCCAAATATATTTTGATGGCCCATTCACCCAAATTACCCTAAACTCTTCTGTTAAAACACATTATTATTAGAAACTAGAAAAAAGTTACTAATGTCTACGCATTAGATTTTATTTTAGTATTGGAATCTGATGTGCTGTGTGCTTGTTTTTACAAATTTTAGCTTTTAAATACAAGCAAAAAACAAATTATAAACCTATGATACTGTCATACTACTGACACAGATTTCATACCTCAGAACTTGTAAAAAGTTACTGATTGTTTTCTTCATCCAACTTATGCTTTGAAGTGAGGATTATTGATAGTACTCTTGGTGTGTTTTGTTTTTTTTTTTAACCATTCAGATCACTGAATTTATAAGTGCCCGCCTAGTACTTGAAAAAGTAAAGTGTCCGGCCAGAGCGTTGCTGCACAGGACCCTAATACAATATGTCTCAAGTGCACTTTCTAATGTTTCTGGGTCCTGAAGAATCAAGATAAGAATTAAAATTTTATTCCATAAGCAGACTGTTAACTAGGAGCCTTAATTTTTTTTTTTTAAGAGCTTTGTCTAATTGCATCTCAACAGTGATTCCGCCCTCCTAAATTTGGGAAGGTTTGTGTTTTCTCTAGAATGGCATATGTCTTCCATGTATCTTTTCAACTGGCAATTATCTATTTATCGTCTACTTTTTTAAAGTCAGTATGGTCTAACACTGGCACATTCAAAGCAACAATATTTCTAGACTGAGATTGCAAGTAGTCAAAGGTCTTTGTAAGTTAGACATTAATGTTTCTATCTGACTTTGTGCAAAAGCTTCCAGTTAAAATAGGTGCATTAGAAAAAAGAGGCGCTTCCCCTTCCCCCACACCTAAAGGTGTATTTAAACTATCTTGTGTGATTAACTTATTTAGAGATGCCATAATTTAAAATAGGTGGTATTTAAGATAACATCAGTTAGCATTTAGAAAAATCACTTTGTCTATACTCACAGAGTTCTTTTTCAAAAGAAATCTAGTTTTATTTGCGAAAACAATTTTATTTTGTGCTCAATTAAGTTTCAGACTTATCATTTTGACAGTTATCTTGGTAACAGTGACACTAGAAAGCTTTACCCCATTTCTTCACTTACTTTTTGCATGAATATCATACAGATCAGCTCATTTTTAGGTCAAGGGCATACCATGTTGCTGGGTCTTTCACTAATAAGTTCACATTAGAAGTAGTGACAGAATTTTAGGAATTTCAGAGATCGTGTATTGAGATTTCTTAAATAAGGCTTCTGATACTGCTTTATTGCTTTTTTGTACTAGTTAAAACTACATTTAAAATTGCTGTTTCTTTTTTCTACAATTAATAGTTTGTCTATTTTAAAATAAATTAGTTGTTAAGAGTCCTAATGGCCTGATGTTGTGGTTTTTGTATGAAGTGAAGGAATGTTCTCTTCTGTATGTAAACTCTCTCCTGAATCGTATTCTTTTCTAACCTTTGGTGGACACTCTCTTATGCTGATCCCCAAATTTATTTCTCTAGCTGTGACTTCTTCACAGAAGTCAAACAAAAAGCCAACCAAATTATCAATTCCTACCTGTCCCCAATTTCTCAACATTAAATCAAAATCAGACAAAAAATAGCTGGTTCCTACCCTACTCTTTCTCCATTTTGCTAAACACTATCAAACTAAAAACTTAGGCATCACCTATAAAGTCTTGTTTGGAGTGGCTCTTTGTGTTTGGTGCCACAAGTCATATGGTGTCAAACTCCTATCTAAATTGGCAGACAGCTTTCTATGGTTTTTATCCTACCTACTAAGACTATTTGTATTTCTCTGCAGAAATATTAGTATATTTGATTGTTGGGAACATAATAAAGCCCTGCTTAGGCATTATGTATCACGTGTCATATCATTTTTTATTTTTGGCTGTCTTGGGATTCAAACTCAGCCTCGCAACTTGCAAGGCAGGCACTGTACCACCTATCATCATTCTTATCACCAAAAAACTTGTGCATGTGGCACCATGGGTTTGGATTTATGTAATTTCTCAAAATAGAATGGATAAGCAATTCTTTCCTTCTGTAACAGCATGTTTGCTCCTGAAGGAAGAAAGACAAAAAGAAGATAGAACAGTAAGCTGTACTCATGTTAGTGATCTTACATGAAATGTCTTTTAGATCAAGTCAAAATCAAGCAGCATTAACACTAAACATTTTTAGTCTTCGTGACAAAAAATTGATCACTTTTGATAATTTAGCATTTTGGTGATCTAAATGTCCATTATAATTAAGAGACAAGTCCAAATTCATATGTTTGTTTACTTTTCATTACCATTTTCTGGCACAAATGGTAGAGGGGACAACCCTACAGTCTAATTCTGTTATCTGGATGGTTTCATAGACCCTTACTTTTAATAGCATATTTTTGTTCCTCATTTTGGGGCCAACATAGTGCACACGGCATGGGTAAAGATCTGGTAGAGTTTTCCCTTGGATATAGATATTTTGGGTTAAATGTGGTGGAAATACTATGTACTCGTATGAAAATGGAAAAATGAGACCTACTGAGCTATTCCAAAATGGGGGAAGAGGAGAATGATGGAGGGGGTGAATTCAACTATGACATTTTGTAGGTACTTTTGTAAATGTCACAGTGTTCCCCCAGTACAACAATAATATATTGGGGAAAAAAATGATATTTTAAACGGCAGTTTGAAACCTTGACTCTAGAAATACTTTACTAAATTCTACCGTTAAGTATAGCTTCTTAAATAGAAATGTTGTAGTTTGAATGTTAAATGTCTCCCAGAGTTGGCACTACAGGGAGGTCATGTAACATTTCAGGAGTTGGCCCTAACTGGAGGTCTTTAGGTCTTTGGGGATATACCCTTGAAGGGAATTGTGGGACGCTACTCTTCTTGTCTCTCTCTTCTGTTTGTTTCCTGGCTCATGATGCTTATAAGCAGTTTGCTCTGCCATGCACCCCTATCATGAGGTACTGCCCTCATACAAGACCAAAGAGATGGGCCCACCTGGTCTTGGACTGGAACCTCAAGAACCATGAGCCAAAATAAACCTCTTTATAAATTAATCATCAGTCATTTCATTATAGTAATGCAATGCTGAATAATACATATGCTATTACTGTATTATATGCAGTTGGGATAGTCATCTCTCATAAACCCTTTTATGAGTCTATAATTTAGGGGCTATGTTTATGTATTAATATTGACATGTGATGATTATAATGTAATATGGACGATTAAACTTACTGTACAGACCAACATCAGCTGCTTCCTATATCAAAGATGTTATAATATTTAACTGAAGTTACTGAGAAAATCTGTAAGCTTTGTTTTTCTATATTTTGGCAAAGGCTGAATTTAAATTAACAGTAAGATATGATTTTTTTCCTTTCTTTTCATAATTCTCTCAAACCATTTGTTGTCCTAATAGCAGGGGGAGGTCTAATAAGATAGGCAAAATTACAGTTTGCAGTTTTTTTCTCCTCATTAAGAATTTTGCCTCAGCCGGGCACTGATGGCTCACATCTGTAATCCTAGCTGCTTGGGAGGCTAAGATCAGGAGGATCATGGCTTGAGGCCAGTCCAGGAAAGTAGGTTTACAAGAGACCCCATCTCCAAGATAACCAGAGCAAAATGGACTGGAGGTGTGCCTCAAGCAGTAGAGTGCCTGCTTTGCACGAAGCCCTGAGTTCAAGCCCCAGTCCCACCAAAAAAACAAAAAGGTCTCTAAAGCTGTACATTTTAAGGTTCAGCTACTGGCGAGCTACAGTAGCTCTAAGTTAAAGAGCATATTTAGCATTCCTAACTTTGCTTTTTAAAATGGATTAAATGGCAACTTCATTAACCTCTTAACAGCAGGTGAGGACATTATTTCATTCCTATTAAAATCTGAATTTTTCTGAGTATGTTAGGGTAAAATTTTATTGGAAACACTAAACATTGAAACAAACTTAAGACTAGAGAAACTTAAGATAAACTTGTATAAAAGAAAGGATCCATTCATTTCTGATTCAGTATCATCATGAAAATATCCCTTTCTCATACATACCAATAAGCAGCAAGATTTTCTGAAGCTCTCCAAACACTCATCTGTCAGAAAGAAATAAAGGAAGGAAATATTTTTCCTTTCCATAGATGCGTCAGTGGCAAGTCTGTCCTCAAAGACCAGAGAGAAAACATGTTTTTTCAGATAAATGTGTCCACACCCAAGACACATAAGTCATCTCTCAAGCTGGCCTAAAATTAAATCTTCCTTATTGTTTGCAGTTTTAAGAGCAAAATCACCAGTTCTCATCATTGGCTGAACATCAAAATTACTTATAGGGCTTTTTAAATATACTGAATTAGAATCCTCAAGTCTATATTCTGTGAAAAGCCCAGAGATTATTCTGTTGGGCACAGAGATAAGCATTGAGATACATGATAGGGTACTGCTACACATAAAACTTAAGGAGAAAATATGGATAAAAATTCACAGTAATAATTTGTACGCTGGCAGTATGACTTGATTGGTGGAGTTTGTACAAGGCAGTCCATTTGTCATCCCCTTGGAATGTTCATATATATATATATACATACATATATATATATATATGTATGTATATATATATATATGTATGTATATATATATGTGTATGTATATGCAGCTCCAAAAATAGTACTCTAATTTAGAACTAGAAGCATCCAGTCTTTTTTGCCACTACTGGATAGGTCTGCAAAAAACAGATAATTTGTCAAAAGAAACTAAAGATTCAAAAAGTTACCTACCTCATCAAGAAAATGAGAAGACAAGCCACAGATTAGGAGAAAAATCTGCAAACGACACATGTGATAAATGACTTATCCAAAATGTACAAAGAACTCTTAAAACTCAACAACAGGAAAGTAACTCAGTTTTTAAAATGAGCTGAAGACCTAAACAGACACAACGAAAGATGATGCACAGATGGCAAATAAGCAGATGAAAAGATGCTCAACAACATATGTCATCAGAAAAATACAAACTAAAACAATAACAAACTACTGCACACCTGTTAGGATGCCTAAAATCTGTGACACTGACAGCACCAAATGCTGACGAGGATGTAGAGCAAACACAAACTCTCTTTCATGGCTGATGGGAATGGAAAATGGTGTAACCACTTTGGAATTTGCAGTTTGGCAGTTTTTTATAGTTAAACATCATAATCTTTCTATACAATCAAGCAGTTACCCAAATGAGTCTACTCAAGATTTGACTACACAAAAAACCTATTCATCATTGTTTATAGCAGCTTTATTCATAACTGCCAAAACTTGGAAGCAACCAAAATGTCTTTCAGTAGTTAAGTGGGTAAACTGTGGTGCATCCAGACAATGGAATGTCATTTAACACTAAAAAGAGAGGAGCTATCAAATCATGAAAGGCATGAAAGAACCTTAAATATCACTAAGTGAAGCCACAATAAAAAAAAAAGCTACATATTTTTATTCCAACAGCATGACATTCTGGAAAAGGTAAAACTATGCAAACAGTAAAAAGACTTGTTCTCACTCTAGAGATGACCAGCTTTCAGTCTATGGAAAGTGTATTCCTTTCCCAATAAACTTCACTCTCGCTTTCACTACAAAAAAAAAAAAAAGGACCAGGGACTGGGTGGGGGTGGAAGAGTGGGGAAGAGGGAAGGATAAACAGGTGGAGCACAGAATATTTTTAAGGCAGTAACTATTCTATACAATACTGTAATGAAGGATACGTGTCATTGTACATTTGTCCAAACCTATAGAACATTTAACACCAAGAGTGAACCTTAATGTCAACCATGGCCTTCAAGGGGTAATTCTAAATCATTGTAGGTCCATCTGCTGTAACAAATGCGGCACTGTGGAAAGGCTGTTGATAGTGGGGAAGTAGTGCATGTGTGGGGATCAGGTAAGTGGCCAATCTCTGTACCTGCCTCTAGGTTTTGTTGTGAACTTAAAACTACTCTAAAAAAAATTATGCCTTAAAAAAAAGTAATGTCATCAATAAAGAGCAATCAAAGGCAATAATATGAATAGTAATTGGGTTGCTTATAAACCATTTGTGTTTTAGTGTAGGCTTACCTATGAGACCTTATCTGAATAGCTACTTTAAGACACAAATGTATGCTGGGTATGGTGGCTCATGCCTGTCATCCCAGCTATATGGCAAGCATAAACAGGAGGACTGAGGTCGAAGCCAGTCTGAGCATAAACATATTCAAACAATATCTAAAGCAAAAAAAAGCTGGTGTGCACGGGTCAAGCGGTAGAGCGCCTGCCTCGCAAGTACAAGACCCTGAGTTCAACCACACTACCACCAATAAAGCAATAAATATATATATGAGACAGGTTGATATTTTATAATTTGACTGCTTCTTAGTGATTAGAAAAAACATTTATCTGCAAATAAGCACTTTATTATCAAATAGTTGGGCATCAGAACAAGATTTCTAATTCTAAAAAGGTTTTATTTATATAACATCGTACTATGAGATATAAACTAGAATAATCTGACACTACAACCCATTCCAGTTTCTCTTTTGCAATCAGGTAACTTGTTTTGATCCCAAAATGTTTTTCTCATTGTGAAATACATTAATTCTTTTCATCTAGTATAATTATACTAGTGCCAAGGTAAGAGACCTGTTTTATTGTGACATAAAAATTAACTATAAGAAAAACAATTATTTTTACTTACAGAGGCAAATTCCCTGTTAACACAAAAGCAAAAGACTTTATGCAATTATGTAAAGCAGATGAGCCCAAAAATAACATTCATTCAAAGATAATACTTCATAGTTGATAATCCCATATGAGAAATGAATGACTCAGAGTAAACAGAAAATTAAAATCAGCCCTTCGGCCTTTGACAATTTAATTGCTAAGGCCTTTTGTGAATTCTAATTAAGCTCTAAGTTAGTCACTATTTCTCAGAATTATGGTACTAAAAGAACATGAACCCCAGTAATTACAGATGTTATAATTTATTTTGTACAACTTATTCCTTCATCTTGTATTCCATCCATAAAGCTGTTCTCAGGACATCCTTAAGGTGTATAATTAATTGAGTGCCTACTATATCCAAGGCACTGTGCTGGCAGCTGAAAATAAGACATTTTCATTTTTTTCCTTCTCAGTGCTTTCTATGTAAACTTCAGATTTAGGCAGATGGAGAAGACCACCTACCATCCTTTCGATAGAACACAAGAAGTCAGCCAGATGTAGCTTATCATAAAGGCTGTTCATTGAGGAGCTTTACTGCAGGGGAAATACATGGTTGAAGAACTCCTTTCCCAGACTGAAGGTGTGGCTCAAGTGGTAGAGAGCCTGCTTTGTAAGCACAAAGCCCTGAATTCAAACCCTGTCCCACCAAAAAGGAAAAAAAAAAAAAACCTTCCCACAGGTGGGGATCAATTTTTAAAGGCTCCAACTCTGCTGGCTTTGCTGATGAAGTTCTTCAGGAGATCATGATCCATTTCTGCAAAGCCTGAAGTTTGTGTCACTACAGTCAGGTGGTTTATGCAAAACCTGAAGCAGAATTCTTCTAAATCCTAGAACAACAATAACAACAGTTTAACAAACTCAGTCTCCCAACACAATGCAACATGGCATGAGAATTCCTCAAACAAGGAAAAGGATTTGAGAGCCGATAAAAGAAATGGTAGCACAGCAATGTCTGAAGAACAGTTATAAAAACTATATAACTAACATGAATTCATGCTTGTAAAAATGCAAATAACAAAGTAAAATGTTCACGTTCCTTCAACCAGTGCAAAGAGTCTGGCTTTTTCTTCCCCGAAAGAGGCATGTGTTTGAATTCTGCAGTACCTTTTTTGAGTTGAGTGACAGAACTTGTATTGTTCATTCCACATTCATTATTTGTTAAAAAGCACTACATTCCCTTTTATGGTCCCTGGGACACTAAATTTTTCCACCTGAAAAGAGTTTGTAGAAGAAAAGGGATAAGCCATAAAAAATAGTAATGCTGGGAAATTGCTTCCCTTAAATCATTACCAGGCCACTGCTGTTTTTCCTTTGCAAGAAGATAAAGAATGGGATGAATGAATCCCACTACATATACCTTCAATAATCTTAGCTGGGGAGTAGCTCTGCAGTACAGTGTGTGTTTAGCACGTGGAAGGTGCTGGGTTCAATCCCCAGCACCCAAATTACATGTGTATATATATAAAAATGTATGTATATGCATACATATATATATATCTTTGTATGTATATGTATATACGTGTGTATGCAACATTTATTTTTGCAGTGCTAGGGAGTGACTTAAGGCCTTGTGCATGCTAGGCAGGCGCTCTACCCCTGCTACACTCCCAGCCCACCAGATGCAGTTTTTGCCCTGGGGAAAAGTAAGGCCAGCTGGCTGAGACCCCTGATAAGCCTCAGAACCAGACTCAACACAAGGTGCTCCTTATCATGGTCCATTTTTAAAGCTTCTTCTTTATGTTGCTGAAGATAATTTATATAAAAATTAATAATAATAAAGCCTCAAATAACTTCCAAGCAATTATATATACACATCACACACTAGGCTTTTCTTTAGATATGTATAAACCATAGCAAATGCTGATGATGCAAACTAGATTGAAATTAGCAATAAAATAGAAAAGAGAAAAGTTATTGCTGATAGCATGACAATGTACACACAAACTGCAGTACATTCCCTTTTTTTTTTTTTTTTTTTCATTTTTCTTTTATTATTCATATGTGCATACAAGGCTTGGTTTATTTCTCCCCCCTGCCCCCACCCCTCCCTTACCACCCACTCCACCCCTCCCGCTCCCCCCCTCAATACCCAGCAGAAACTATTTTGCCCTTATCTCTAATTTTGTTGTAGAGAGAGTATAAGCAATAATAGGAAGGAACAAGGGGTTTTGCTGGTTAAGATAAGGATAGCTATACAGGGCATTGACTCACATTGATTTCCTGTGCGTGGGTGTTACCTTCTAGGTTAATTCTTTTTGATCTAACCTTTTCTCTAGTTCCTGTCCCTTTTCCTATTGGCCTCAGTTGCTTTAAGGTATCTGCTTTAGTTTCTCTGCATTAAGGGCAACAAATGCTAGCTAGTTTTTTAGGTGTCTTACCTATCCTCACCCCTCCCTTGTGTGCTCTCGCTTTTATCATGTGCTCATAGTCCAATCCCTTGTTGTGTTTGCCCTTGATCTAATGTCCACATATGAGGGAGAACATACGATTTTTGGTCTTTTGAGCCAGGCTAACCTCACTCAGAATGATGTTCTCCAATTCCATCCATTTACCAGCGAATGATAACATTTCGTTCTTCTTCATGGCTGCATAAAATTCCATTGTGTATAGATACCACATTTTCTTAATCCATTCGTCAGTGCTGGGGCATCTTGGCTGTTTCCATAACTTGGCTATTGTGAATAGTGCCGCAATAAACATGGATGTGCAGGTGCCTCTGGAGTAACAGTCTTTTGGGTATATCCCCAAGAGTGGTATTGCTGGATCAAATGGTAGATCGATGTCCAGCTTTTTAAGTAGCCTCCAAATTTTTTTCCAGAGTGGTTGTACTAGTCTACATTCCCACCAACAGTGTAAGAGGGTTCCTTTTTCCCCGCATCCTCGCCAACACCTGTTGTTGGTGGTGTTGCTGATGATGGCTATTCTAACAGGGGTGAGGTGGAATCTTAGTGTGGTTTTAATTTGCATTTCCTTTATTGCTAGAGATGGTGAGCATTTTTTCATGTGTTTTCTGGCCATTTGAATTTCTTCTTTTGAGAAAGTTCTGTTTAGTTCACTGCCCATTTCTTTATTGGTTCATTAGTTTTGGGAGAATTTAGTTTTTTAAGTTCCCTGTATATTCTGGTTATCAGTCCTTTGTCTGATGTATAGTTGGCAAATATTTTCTCCCACTCTGTGGGTGTTCTCTTCAGTTTAGAGACCATTTCTTTTGATGAACAGAAGCTTTTTAGTTTTATGAGGTCCCATTTATCTATGCTATCTCTTAGTTGCTGTGCTGCTGGGGTTTCATTGAGAAAGTTCTTACCTATACCTACTAACTCCAGAGTATTTCCTACTCTTTCTTGTATCAACTTAAGAGTTTGGGGGTCTGATATTAAGATCCTTGATCCATTTTGAGTTAATCTTGGTATAGGGTGATATACATGGATCTAGTTTCAGTTTTTTGCAGACTGCTAACCAGTTTTCCCAGCAGTTTTTGTTGAAGAGGCTGCTATTTCTCCATCGTATATTTTTAGCTCCTTTGTCAAAGATAAGTTGCTTATAGTTGTGTGGCTTCATATCTGGATCCTCTATTCTGTTCCACTGGTCTTCATGTCTGTTTTTGTGCCAGTACCATGATGTTTTTATTATTATTGCTTTGTAATATAGTTTGAAGTCAGGTATTGTGATACCTCCTGCATTGTTCTTTTGACTGAGTATTGCCTTGGCTATAAGAAAAGAAACAAACTACTAAAGGAAAATTTAACTATTTCATCCCTGAACACAGACAGCAGGCTATTCAGGTCACATTGGCAGGGAAGCCATCAATGGTAACGGAAAATTCACATAACCCGCTGATGTCTCTGTATATTAGGACACATAAAAATGTGCTTCACTGAATATGCTGATATCCCAGTATTCAAGCTTCATCCTATTGCTGTTGAAACTGCTTGCCAAGGTCCCCTATGGCATTCTCACTGCCATCTCCACTAGTCAGCTATCTGTCCTCACCTTGGCCCGTGAAGCAGCATCCAATATGGCTGAGGACTCATCCTTTCCTAGCTTCCAGGACAGCGGCTCCTTGTTTGTCACATGCCCTACCATGTGTTCTTTTTAATCTCCTTTGCTGGTATCCTGTTTTACCTTGACCTCTAATACTGAGTGCCCCAGAGTTGATCCTCAAACCTGTCTGTTCATGACCCAGTCTCACAGCTTTCCCTACAATTTTCTCTCAACTCCAAATTGGTTTATGCAACTTGCATACTAGGCATGTTCTGGATGTTTAACAGACATCACGTATTTATCATGTTCAAAACCAAATTCCTAGCATTTTACCCAAAATGCTGCTCCCTATTTCAACATAATTTCATCCTTTCAGTTACTCAGGCCAAAACCTTGACATTATCCTTAAGTTTTTTTTTTTTCTTTCTTCTTCCTTACCCCATATCCAGTCCATCAGCAAATTTACTGTCTCTGCCTTGAAAATACATTCACAATCCAACCACTTTTCACCACCCCCACGCTGATGACTTACTTGTACCAACTCACCCTTGCCACTGCTGGATCGCACAGCTTCCCTCACTGACTTCCCCCCTTCACAACTCCAGCCCCTGCCAGTGAGATTCAAGGTGGGCAAGGGATTCTTTATTTTAAGGTAGAATGAAAAGAGTCAACTTCAAGTATTCAGAAATACAAAAATATATACATAATGTGAACTAGAAAAAAAAATCAGAAGTTGCGGCACGGAAGTTGTGATGTTCTCAGGTTGATGAGTCATTTCCTTCCTCATACTTTTTGTATTTCCTCCATTTTCTTTAATAAGCAAATTATTGTTCACATAAGCAGAAAAAGGTTATTACCTTTTCCTACTAAAATGTCCCTGGTTTTTGACCAAAGAAGAGGATATCCTCATACCAAAAGGAAATTGACTACAAGAAGTTATAGCCTGTTTCCTAAAGATTTAGCACTAAAGTAGGTTTTCTTTATTATCATAACAATATATGGTTATTGTAGAAAGTTCAGAAAAACAAGCAAAGAGAAGGAAATAAAAATCATCCATAGTCACAAGGATAACCATGACAGGGGAAAACTTACACTTGTTTTCATTTACACATTTATTTATTTCCCATTTATTCTTTGGTTTATTTATGTTGTAGTCAAACTGCTCATATTTTCTTTTCCTTTTTCAGTTATTGTAGAAAACTTGCTTCATTATATCTTATAGACATAATCTTTTGAAATCAGGTCTATCAATCCTTAATAATCTCTGCCTTGATGTCCTCCCTGACATCATATAGTCACTTAATTTTTTCTAGTATTTTTGTTTCTTTTGATATCACATCTTTGATCTACCTAGAGGTATTCTGTTTTAGCTTAAGTCATGTAGAAGGTTCCCTTCTTGGAAGGTTTCTTTCTTCTTACCTGAGCGTCGTATTTCACAGCAGCTGAGAGCAGAGCAATGGCATTCTCCTCACAGATTCCTTGCTTGATAGTTTGTTGGCAGAGTTTTTTCAAACGATTTTCTCTATAAAATGTAGCCAAATCCAGCAATCCTGGTAGAAAGAAGTGCTTAGGGGCGAGGGCACATTTCAAGCATCCTGAATGAAACTCATGCTAACAATCATGCTCCCTGATGTGCTGTGTAAACAGACTTAGCTGATTTACACTTGAGTGCAGCTTTCCCTAAAATGGTAGCAAAGTCAGCAAACACATACACAGATCACAAGCTGCTGAAAAACAGGAGCAAAGGGAAAATGGCTTTAGTAATTTTTCCTAGCTAAAAAACAAGAACAAGCCAGGTGCTGGTAGCTCATGCCTAGCTACCTGGGAGGCTCAGATAAGGGGGATCACAGTTCAAGGCCAGCCCAGGCAAATAGTTTGAGAGACCCAATCTCCAAAATAATCACAAGCAAAATGAACTGTGGCTTAAGTGGTAGAGGCCTTGTTTTGCAAACACAGAGCCATGAGTTCAAACCCATCTCCCTGTGAATTATCTTCTCCCAGGTCAGGCCCATCATATCCTGGGTTTCATCCCCTGTACTCTCCCCACCCTCAAAACAAAAATGTTTGAGTTTAACACACAAAAAATAACTTTTTATGTGAATACGCTCAGAGTGATTTTCTTTTAGGCTCTAGAGAAACCATCTGCCAGTGGTTACTCAACATTCTGCCAATTTCTCAATGAAACGCTGGCCATTACCTACTGCCTCCTCTGGAGGAAGGCTGATGTTGTCTGTGTATAAGTATTCCAGAAAAGCTCTATATACAGGATATGAAAATTCACTCATTTCTACAATATCATCCTCGTTGTCTTCCAGTGAAGAACGAAAATGCTCACACCTGAAGGGAGAAAGAAAGTAAGTTTGATCCTGAGCACACCCATCTCTTGAAGTCATACACCATCCCCTCTGCTACAGTTTGGATGCTCAAAGGCCCCAAAGGCTTGGTCCTGGGGTGGCAGCACCATGATGTGATGGAACCTTTAAGAGGCAGGGTAGTTGGGAAGTACATGCACTGCTCCCTGGCCTGTGAAGAAAGCACTTTTACCTCACTGGGCACTCTTGCCATGATATGCCGCCTTACAACAATGCGGCCCATCAAGTATGGACTGGAACCCCCAAAACTGTGAACCAAAATAAACCTTTTTGACTGAGGGTGTAGCTCACTGGTACAGTACATGCTTAACATGTGTGAGGCCCTTAATGCAATCTCCAATACCAACTAAATAAATAGCCCTTTTGTTTGTCAATTATTTTGCTATAGTGACGGAGAGCTGACTAACACAACATCCTTGCCTCATCTCCTCATTTTCTCTGCTGGCCTGAAATTTTCAGTCCTTATTTGACAAGGCTGCAAATGCAAACTGCTAGTACTGTGGGTGTTCTGGCAGCTGCCACTGAGGCCACATTGGTGTAGGACCCTGGCATCTTTCTCACAACACAGCTACTGATCAGCAGGTACAGCAATCAGTAAGGTTTACTTGTATAAATCTGAGTAATTTTGATTCTTCACTCCATTATGGATTGAACTGTGTCCCCTAAAAGTTCCAATATTCAAGTCCTAACCCCCCGGAGTTAATAAAGTTAAGATGAGTCATTGTAGTGGGCCCTAATCCAGTATTACTGGTGTCCTTATAAAAAACGGGAAATTTGGGCACAGACACAGACAGACAGAATATCATATGATGATGTGAGGTAAGCTGCCACATGCCTAGGAATGCCAGAGACTCTCACGAACCATCAGAAGCTAGACAAGGCCCAGGGCAAATCCTTCCTCCTAGCTTCAGAAGAAAACCATACTTGTGACACCTTGACTTAGACTTCCAGTCTCCTAAACTGTAAAAGAGTATTTTTCTATTGTTTAAGCCACCCTGTGTAGAACTTTGTCACAGCAAACTAGCTACCCCCTCCTTTATGGTGAGAGTGAATGAATGTGCACAGCTTGATCTTATGAAAGAGGAACTTGAGGCTGAAATGCCATATTGGGTTTGTGATTCACTGAAAGAGGATTTAAATATGTATTACACAACAACATAGTGAATTTCAAAATCATCCGTTAAGAGGAAAGAGCCAGACACAAAAGAATGCATACTGCATCCTTTCATTTATATAAACTTCTAGAAAATGCTAAGTAATCTATGGTAACAGAAAGATCACTGGCTGCCCAGGTTGGGGTGAGAGAACTACACTGTGCCTGGATGTGGGGCAGTGGTTTCATGGATGTGTACAAGTGTCAAAACTCATCCAACAGCACACTTGAAATAGATGCCACTCACTGCTCACAAATTAAACAACAAATGTGATTTTAAAAACTTTTATGTTAGCATCATCCAGTCTTTTTTGGTCTGGAAAAGTCTGGCCTTCTCTTTTCTAAAGCATCTGAAAATTAAGGATCTCACAGCTGACTGAGGAAAGTGACTACCTTGGGCTGAGCTCAGTCTCCAGGCAGGGAAGATAATTAATATCAAAGTCCTGGACAAAGTTTTCAAAGCACAGAACTCATTCACCAAGTGGCAGGTGGCTGCTCTCTAATGCCAAGGGGGACAGGGCATTTTCCAAACCCTCTAAGGAATGTCCACAAGGTCTGCTCCCCCACCACATACTCAGCACTTGTCTCTCACCAACCTGCAATACTTCTTCTTCTTTGTTTTTTTTTTTTGGTGGGACTGACGTTTGAACTTAGGGCTTTGTGCTTGCACAGCAGGAGCTCTATCACTCAAGCCACACCTCCAATCCTGCATTATTTCTTGCTTCCCTTATCACGTTTCCCCTGACTGTACTGTGGGCTCACAAGCACAAAAAGAGGCTTGCCACACTTTTTCATAAATACTGAAGTGCCCAGCCAAGTCCCTTGGACACAGGAATTAAACTGTTGAATGAATGGGTTGATCTGAATTCTCAAAATAAGCGACCCCTTACCTAATTTTGAGAAGGACTTTGTGTGCATAAATATATTTTCCATCAACCAGAAACTTGAGGTCTGCAGTGTCCGGGTTGTCAAATTCCCTCTTCAGTGACTCAGCCACAGTGAGATGATCATCAGGTTCTAAGAGAGCAACACAAATGCTTCTAGGCTCAGCCACAGATACATGAAATACAGGCCAGGAGGCGGCCTTGCTCCTGGACACTCATGAAATACTGATTCCCCAAGATAACTGACCAACCAAGCAATCATTTTTCCCCCAAATATGGATTCAGAGCTGCCATCCATAAAGACAAAAACATCTCACACAGCTGCTTATGTATCGAGCCAAACAAAGTCTCAAACTGCCTCACTAATTCTGAATGAAATTTTAGAATGTTCAAGTAAATGTTCTAGTTAAAAAAGAAAAGATAGCTTCCTAATAAAAATAAAACACAGTCAAATAAAATTACTTTTAATCTGGTATTGGCATTGATTCCTGATAGTTTTAAGAAAATTTATCAACTTAGTTCCCTTTCACAGGAGCCCAAGAAGGAAAATGAATTTGGATCCTTCACCCAATGAGTCCTGATATGAAAATAAAAGCACCTAATTCTCTTCCTACTTTTCAGACCATGCCCCAAATGGACAGGGACCACTCACCCACGGAGAGAAGACGCCAGGTGACAGCAGGGGTGGCAAAGCACGCAAACACATCATCGGTGCAGGAGAAGTGGGTGAGGTGAGGGAGGATCACCGACTGGCTCCGGCACTGGCCCCACATGTACACGTGCCCGCCCTGCGTCTTAGCAGCAGACGTGTGGGCAGAGTGACAGGCTGCAATCTCTATGATCCTAAGTTCACCAGCAAATACCAAGGAAACACAATAAGCAAGAAAAAAATGAATTGGTCTCTCCTTCCCCTAGGTGTAACTGATTTGAGGGCATCATAAACTTAACTGACAGAAGGAGACAGGCCTGAGGAGAGAAACCTCATCTTCTAAATTTCCAGCCATCAAACACTGGAGCCACACTTCAATGGCACTTATAATTCATGAAGATCTATTTGTTACCAGCAGGCCTATAAAAATACGCACCATCCCATTTTGAAAATCAAGTACCACCCAAGTCAAGTAGACATCCAAAGGAAAAAGATGATTTAATTTTTGTTCTTAAAACATTACTAATTGAAGTAGGTAATGAAGACAGACTATCTTAAATCAGGATCAATAAATACTTTAATCAAAACTTTGCCAATTTGAGCTCAGGGTGTATCTCAGTAGTAGAGCTCATGCCTAGCATGTATATGGCTTTAGGTTCAGGCCTTGGCACCAATAAATAAATAAATAAACTTCACCTATTTTAAGGTTAAAGAGAATGTGCTAAAAGTCATTCCAACTCCTACTGCACACCATAAATTCAGTAGGTTTTTCTGTTTTGTTTTCTTTTTGCTTCTGTTTTTGTTTTGCAATGCTCAGGATGAAACCCAGGGCCTTGTGCATGCTAAGCAAATACCCTACTACTGAGGGCAATACCTCAGTATAATAACCTACTACTACACCCCCAGCCCAATAGTTCTCTTCACTGGACTGCACCAGCTGGAGCCAGATAGCAGTTTCCTGGGCTCACTCAGTGCCAGCATGAGTGTGTAAGTTCATGATTGACAGGGATGTAGCTCTGAGAACACTTCCTAATGGAAAACACTGTTCTGTTGATACGGACACAGTTACTTTTCTGTAAGAATAAACCACCATTCAGACTCAAAGATAGTAAATTCTTCCTTTAACTTTAAGTGAGGTCCCCATCTCAGTTTTGAGAATAGCTTTTGACATCTCCCTTCTCACTTGCTACTTTCTTCAGAACAGCTAGTTCCCAAGCAACATGACTCTTTCTTTACAATGCCCCTAACTGGACAACAACAGCCTTCCTGGTCTCCTGGCCTCAGACTTTCTCTTCCCTCAAGCCAAATGGCACCAAGCTGGTAGGTTAACAATCCTTAGATACCACTCTCACCAGGACTTTGAGACCTGCTGTGGCTTCCCATTGGATAAAATCAAGACATGGGGTGTTAAGGTGTCCTGGACTTGGTTTCCACCTCGGTGCTGCCTTCCCTCAAGTCACTTTGGTCCTCACACCATGTGTTCTGACAAGCAGATATACTCACTCACTGCTCTTCAATGTCTTCATTCATGGTTACAGTGTTTGTTCAGGAATGTTCCCGGTTTCCTCTACAAACTCTGCTCAAGTTCACCTGAGCTCTTGTAGCACCTTCTTTCCACACCATTCCAACCTGGCCTTGATTTCTTTTCAGGTATATAAAGTTCACCTGTTTGGTTAGATTACAAGCTCCTGCCAGGCTGGATCACTGGCTTGTTTTCTCTCTCTAAGCACACAACACAATGTCTTTCTAAATGTCTTAGTAATACTCAGCAACCCAGAGCAACTCAGCAACTCAGTGGGTTGGGCAACACCCAGTGACCAAGGGCTAGCAGTGGAAGGAACGGACATCCTTCCCTGCCTCCTTGATCAGAGGCTTCCCAATTAGAGGGAGATTGCTCATCACACAATCTGGAGTGTCATGCTGGGTCACCTCACAAAGCTGGCACATTGTTTCTGGCCACCCAAGCAATTTCACTGATTTCTTGGAGGACAGCTCTCAGCTCTTGAAAACCAAGTAATGGAGGAGAAGAGGCCATGAAGGACTAACTGGGCTGTCACTCAAAACTAGGTTTGATTCCCAACCCCACCATAGGCTGAAGGGCATTGGGAATATCACTTAGCCTCTGGAGATCTCAGTTCATCACACAGCAGGGCTGGCATGAGAATTAAATGATAAAATATCAAGTGCCAAGCACACAATCTGCTATACAAATAGGAGCATAATAAAAGTTTTCTTAATAGTGTCAAAGGACAAAATTTCAATAATTTTGTTAAATGATCTTAATTGGCTTTATTTTCAATTCTAGAGTAAGTATGGACTTATAAAGGATGTTGGGCTCATAGACACAGAAGGGCTAAAGAAGGCAGAAAGAAAAAAAAAGGCAAAAAGGGGATTGGTCACTTCAGTTACTTTATAAAAAGGAGAACCAGGAAACAAAACAATGAGAAAATAACTGGTTGGTTGACATCAGGGTACTTCAGGTTATCTTTTCTGTATTAAGAGGAACATCACCATTATGTCAATTGAATGGGCCAGTTTGAGGAATTTGACTATTATCTCTCTAATCCAGATTTCTCAGAAGGTTTGATAAACAGCTTAACTTCAGCTTACTGAAAGAAAATTTAGCATGGGTGACACCATTTTGATTTTTAGTCTGGTCTGCTGGGTCCCAGTGTAAAAGCTTAGTCCAAAACACAATGACCTTCTGTAGTTGTTACTTAACACTATCACTACTCAGCATTTTAAGTGACAAACGCCTCTCTTAAGTAGAGATTATGTATTTCAAATGAGCAATTAAAATTAGTATTCTTCCCTACATGAGTCCTTTTCTGATATTTCCATGGCTGGGCAGTCAACTGACTCCAAACTCTATTCTAGTGCTCTGTGAAGGAGACTTGCCCAGTGGGAAAATGGTCCAAACTATTTAGCTTCCCAATATGCACACTCTTCAAAAAATAAGGAGAAGGAAGTAGAAGAAATTCATCTATTCAAAGGAAAGAACGTCAAGTGCTCCTGTTCTACTTCACTGACAAGCCTTCTACATCACAGCAACCGTGAGAGCAGTAGCATAGTCCTCTGGGGAGGCCTGAGGCCGCAGCAGTTTGTAGAAGGCAAGTGACTTATAGTCTTATGATCAGTTTTATCATTTTTTTTATATCTCTCCCATATTTTAAGTTTTATCATCTTTTTTAAAGAAAGAAAAAGGTGGGAGAAGGCAAAGTACAGGTCGCCATCATCTCAGAGCCTTGTGGTGTGGAGAAAATGAATGAGGTACCTAGCAGCTTGGGACCCAAGCCACTGACACAGAACTGTGCCTGTACATTGGGTCATGGTTTTTAAAACTGATTTCAAGCTGGGCGCTGGTGGCTGGTGGCTCACAACAGTAATCCTAGCTACTCAGAAGGCAGAGATCAGGAGGATCTACAATAGAATGATCCATTAACAACCATGTAACTATATGGCTGTGAAGTACTAGAAAGGACAAAGCAGACAGTAAGAATAAAAGTAGACACAGGAAAAAGGGAGCAGGGCAGAAGGCAATTTGTAAAGAGGAATAATGGAGAAGAAACAGCAATAATCAAAAGACCTACTATGATGATGCCTAATCCTGGCTTTGTAATAGCCTAGAGTATTTCCGATTACCTTGAGAAGTCATAGAGTTCTCAAATATTCAAGGCAAGACTAGTTTTATATTAATTTAATTAAAATATTCTTTAATGAATCTTCAAGAACAAAGATACAAATGCCGGCCAATCAAATGCCAAGGTATTGAAACTTTGGATAGATTGGGAATGACTAATTAGGTTAGAAAACAATCATTTAAATTACTGAAATTGCTTTTATGTCAAATTCGAGTAAATTTTTATAAATATATTTCCTGTCTGGGAAAGATTTAAAAGTTTTCCTTTGGTTGTTTGAACAAAGAATCCAATGTAAACAGATTTTTCCTTTTCACTTTGGTGAGCTGGCACCTAAGAACTGAAGACTCTCTCCAGCCCGCCCCAAATTCAATCATATTCCTAATTAGTTAGGCTTCCCCCTTCATGGCCCCCAGGAGAGTCAGAAGGAAGGCTCCTGGGAGAGAAGTCATGACCCGTGTGCGAGTCACAGGAAAGGGCAGGGAGGTGCAGAACAAGTCCTAGCACAGACCACAAATTCCTTCCTTGCCACCTGCCTGTGACCAAGACCCAACTGCCACTGTACAAGTGCAGAAATTACCAAGCTTGGAAAACTGAGAAACATAGGATTATTTTACTACTTTAACCCCAAACCTGTTGCTATGAGTAAAAAATGAAATGGTTAGAAATTTAGGGTTTAGTTTTTGCTTGTTTACAAGGATGTTGTTCGAAACAACATCCGTGATGCATCCGTATTCACAATGTTTATGTGGACAACGGCAAGTGTACCAATACATATAACTAGGTCTCTCTTTTTCACACTTAGAGTTCAAAAACAACTGCAGTTTAAAAAGACAGAAAGGCAACAGATAACTCTCAGTCACTTTCATTCCTTGCTTCTCTGCTTGCTGTTCTTTCCTTCACAATCTGTCCCAGCATGAACCAGTGAGAAGACCTGGACTTTCATTCTGGACCAGGACTAAAGGGACAATGTGAGCAAGTCACCAGTGGGCAAGGACAGCAGACTCTATGAGCCACACAGGTGAGCTTCAGTAGGTAAGTGCAAATGCACCATGATAGGTGACACAGTGACACATAAATCATTGTTTTACTGTCCATGCTGCTACCTTCATTTGACACTTTAACACTGTTGTTCTGGTAAATACTGTGTGTCCCCACCCACTGGCATGGTGGTCCTGAGGAATTTGTGGTTATACAAATCCTCAAGACTGTCCCTTCCCCTTCTTCCTGAGTAGCTCTGAATATCTGTTCCAGTTAAGCAAATGACAGGGCCACAGGCATCTACTTGCACCAGCTCTTCCTTCCACTACCTCCCCTGCTTTCCAGTTCTTAAGGGATCAAGGGTCTTATTCTACGACTTTTGGTAGAAAAAAGAGAAACAGTTTTTAGACCTATTTAACACAAGTTCACGATGTGCAAATTAAAATTAGGTGGCAAATGACAATTTGGTTCTTCACTTTTATTGTTACATATTCCAACAGAAAAATACAAAAGAATTGCATCTACGTGCCAGCTAATCTATTTATCCATATATTTATTTTTCAATCAAGTATAATAAAAAAATGAGTATGAGAAATACAAATAAGAACAGCAATACTAATCTCTATAATGGCTACAAGCCTAGTTTAAAGGAAAATGTTTTTGCTCCATACTACTGTGTCAAGAAACGATAAGTGAAGGGCTAGGGACATAGCCCAAGTGGTGGAGCATGCTCGGGACCCTAGAATCAATCCCCAGGACCACAAAAAATAACCAAAAGAAATAAACAAACAAAAATGATAAATGAAAAGACAGTAATAAGGTCACATCTGAGAAATCCAGTTCTCTTTCAAAAATACTAGGATAATTTGGAAACTACTTCCAGATGTGTCATTTACCACAACCTTGTAAACAAGCACAAAACTAAACCCTAATTTTCTAATTATTTCACTCTTTAGGTTGGGGGTTAAAGTAATAAAACAATCCTAGACTTCAACTGGCAAATTTTGTAAGTAGCTGAGGTTTTGGCTATATACCCCATTCAAGGTACTACCATTTTCCCACAGAAGACAGACCAACTGTTGTCAATTTCCCTTTTATTATGAAAAACAAAAAACAAAGAGAGGGAAAAAGGTAACTTGTGAGAAAGAAAAAGAATTCAGGATAACTGTTACAAGTTTAGTCCCTGTAGTTCATACACAGTAGCTACTGGAGGAGTAGATGAAAAGATATTTAACATACAGCCCACTTCCCCAACAACTCACAAGCCAACTTTTAAAAAACAGCAGTAAAGTCTCCATACTTTTATATCATGAATTCTAAGTCCTCTTTAATCACTCAAGACCACAGGGATTGTTTTGAAAATGCACACGTTACCTGTCCTTTTCCACAGTGACAGGAGTAGGATAGGACTGGTTGCTTTTATTACCAGTGCCCAACTGGCCATAAGAATTTGCTCCCCAAGCATACACTTGACCTTCTTCTGTTAATACTAATGTGTGTGCATAGCCACAGGCAACCTGGAAGGACAAAAAACAAATCCTCTCAGGCCTGCAAATAGAAGGAAATGTTTCACTACTTTCACAAAGTAGGTTAAGAATCAAAAATGAAAAGGAGGAGGAGGCAGACTGTCCATAAAGGCAAACATTAAGTTAAGCAGTGCCCAGCTGTGCTGGCATAGGCCCTGCAAGTGACCAGAGTCCTGCAGCCTGCTCAGCTGCCATTCCACATCCCTGTGGCATTCTTCACGCTCACAGAAACCCAGGTTGTGAGCTGAGTGCAAGAAGAAGACATTTTTTTCTTCTGATTATTAAACATGCTCCATGTAGAAAACGGAGAAAAGTATAAATGTGAAAGTACTCACAAGATCGGGGGTTTGGTTTTTTCTTTTTCTATTTATGTATAGACAGAGATATGCACCTATAATTTTTAATGATATATACACAGTTCTGTACCTTGGTTTTGTTTTGTTTTTTATTTAACATTACAGATAGCACTTTCCTCTGTCATAAAAAACTTTGTAAACAACATTCTGCCATATCACTTAGCATAACTTATCTAATGATTAACTTATTGTTTCATTAGTAAATTATGCTATACCTATCATTTTTATTAAAGGTATCTCTATTTTTGCTATCACTCCTTAACTAATTCTTTCTTGAGTGTTTATTTTTTCCTAAGATTTTTAAAATTATAATTATTAATGCATATTAATTGCACATATTAATGGATTTCACTGTGACTTCTTAACTAATTCTATTGATTTTCTCTTCAGTACCTCAGGACAATTTCCTAAGACTAGAATTATAGGTGTGAAGATTTTTGAGGCTTCTAGAATGCACTGTCAAAGATTCTTTAGGAACCTTACAGAAACTCTCTGAACAGCTACACCTTCATTCAGGGAAAGAGCAGCTAAACTCAACTTGCTAAGAAAACTGAGTTTTTATTTTTTTTTCTCTTGACATTATTTTATTTATTTATTTATTTTAATGTTTCTCTAGTTCCTGGTCCCCTTCTCTTATTGGCCTCAAAAACTGAGTTTTCTTTTTTTTTTTAATTGTTTTATTATTCATGTGTGCATACAAAGCTTGGGTCATTTCTCCCCCCTCCCCCAAACCCCTCCCTTACCACCCACTCCGACCCCTCCCTCTCCCCCCAACCCCCTCGATACCCGGCAGAAACTATTTTGCCCTTATCTCTAATTTTGTTGAAGAGAGAGTATAAGCAATAATAGGAAGGAACAAGGGTTTTTGCTAGTTGAGATAAGGATAGCTATACAGGGAGTTGACTCACATTAATTTCCTGTGCATGTGTGTTACCTTCTAGGTTAATTCTTTTTGATCTAACCTTTTCTCTAGTTCCTGCTCCCCTTCTCCTATTGGCCTCAGTTGCTTTTAAGGTATCTGCTTTAGTTTCTCTGAGTTGAGGGCAACAAATGCTAGCTAATTTTTTAGGTGTTTTACCTATCCTCACCTCTCCCTTGTGTGCTCTCGCTTTTATCATGTGCTCAAAGTCCAATCCCATTGTTGTGTTTGCCCTTGATCTAATGTCCACATATGAGGGAGAACATACGATTTTTGGTCTTTTGGGCCAGGCTAACCTCACTCAGAATGATGTTCTCCAATTCCATCCATTTACCAGCGAATGATAACATTTCGTTCTTCTTCATGGCTGCATAAAATTCCATTGTGTATAGATACCACATTTTCTTGATCCATTTGTTAGTAGTGGGGCAAAACTGAATTTTTAGTACACTGATGTCTTTGCTACTGAAGACTTTAAAACACACACACACCAACACTGGACGTACCCGCTGGACACGAATGCCTTGCAGAGCTGCCACTCTACAGGGGGTTGGCTGGTTGCCACTGCTGCCCAGGCCCAGCTGTCCGTTCCCACTGTAACCCCATACATAGACCTAGGAGGAGATGAAAAACTCAGTGCTCAGGAAAGACAGCCAGCAATTCAGTTCTGTTATGAGAAATATGCCATGCTCATATGACAGTGATGTGCAGAAAAAAATAAATAAATAAACTATGAAACAGCCTTCCTACCTCCCCAGTGTCCACGACTGCCATAGAGCACATCTGCCCACAAGCTATGTTCACAACCATTTTATTCTGTAAGCAGCCAGTGACTCTTCGAGGAATGGGCTGATTAGCTGTGGATCCAGATCCTACTTGCCCAGAGTTATTATAACCCCAGGCAAATACCTATTTGAAAGAAAAGTGTGATAAATGAAACACATCCATTTCCAAAGTGTCTCACTGGACACTGACGAATTACAGCACCTCGTCCTTCCTCTCAAAGGGCTTCAGCACCACAATCCTCACAATATAGGCAGGGAAGTTTCTATGAAAGTCATTCTTCCACAAGGCATTGCTTTTTAATATTAAAGTATTGGTATTATCTATACAAAAGTAATAATTACTATCAAATATCATGTAACACAAAAATATCTACTTAGCCTGAGCCACCTTTTTCAACATTTTCGGATTTTTCTTTTTGTAAATAATCTCTTTGGTATAGCACTATAGAGGGAATGACACATCCTTTTAAATCTTATGATAATAGAAGTCCTTACTACAAATAGGTAAACTTTATAATATAAACACCATCATGGCTACTCTACAACTAAAGTTGAGGGAAGGGTTACTTTAATCAAATGTTCCTATTTCCAGGACTACAAAGGAATCTTTATAATGTTACTGACAAAAAAAAACAAAACAAAACAATGAGCTTTATGCTGACTATTCTCACCTCACCGTCAGATGTTAGGACCAAAGAATGGTAAGACCCACAGGCAACTTCGATAACTTGCTTGTTGGACAAATTAGTAGAGATGTGACAGGGCACTAAACCATGATTTGTTGTCCCATTGCCCAGTTGGCTATATGCATTATGACCCCAGGTAAAGACTTCTCCATCTGAAAGTAAAAAGAAAGACAGCCAGCTTTCAAAACATCTACTTCACTATATGAAAATATGTATTCATGACTTCCACAAATTATAACTTAAAATTCAGCTCCAAAGACCTAATCAACTTCTCTATTCCACCAAATTTACTCTATGAGAGAATCTATTTGGAAAGCAAAACTGTCTTCTAGCTGGATGCTGGTGGCTCACACCTGTAATCCACACACAGGGGTCAGGAGGATCTCCATTCAAGGTCAGCCCAGGCAAAAAAAAGCGAGACCCTATCTCCAAATACCAAATGCAAAAAGGGGCCAGTGCAGTGGCTCAAGTGGTAGAGTGCCTTCCTAACAAACCCCCAGTACTACCAAAAAAAGAAAAAAACTGCTTTCTACCTCATAAAAACAGTATGAAATTTAAATGCATGCAGTCATAATAACTGGGAGATGGGTTTTTAATAAATAGTAGAGAAAAAACTGATAAAAGTGATAGAGAAAATATTACACTGAAAGTCAAAAGGGTAAACTTAACTCTTCTGGATCTTAGTTTTCCTTATCTATAAAATGATAGCCAAATTAATTTTTTAAATATTTTTATTATTTAACTTATTGTATAACAGAAAAATTCCTAAATCATTGTTTTATAAATTATAAAGCACACATTCACTCAAAAAAAAATACATAATTTATAATTCCCCCGCCAAAAGCCCCCCATACTTGTATCTTACATTTGCCTCTTTGTGCTACATTGTTAATAATTTTTTCTGCTCTACACTCCAGTTTATTGATCTTCTCTTTTGTGATATCCAAACTGCTACGGAACTTGTCCACTGAATTTTTGTCATCATTATATTACTTGTTTGGGTTTTCTTCAAATTTCTATGATCCCTGTAGATCCTACATTTTAATTTTTTCAAACAATAAATAGAGCTGTCCCCTTGTCTGATAATTCTAATATCTGATGTTTAACAGTCAGTCCTTCCTAGCCTTTGCTTCTATTGATTATCATTTGTTTAAACAGAATCTAAAGGAGGCCACTGATTTGGACTAGGCTCAAAAGAACAAACCAAAATGGAGTCACTCATGCTACATTTCCACATTACAAAGCAGAAACTAAGTTATTTATCTGACCTTTTCAGAAATTGAGAGCGAGAAATAACAGCCAAATTCACAAACAGGTCAGTTTCAGCCAGCAGATAATAGAGTTCCCTCTGCTTTAATCCTTGTAAGGCAGTAACTTTGAAAAGTTCAGTCTGCTCATTTTTCTTTGTTTCTGCTTTCTTCACTCTTTCTGTCCATAAACAACTTCCTCTGCTCAGCTCATGTAACAGTCATTCTATTTTATGGAGTGAAGTACTGTGTGATCGTAGAATCAACAAAGAAATGCCAATTAAAATCTTGGAGATAAATCTGTAATTTGTCTTTTGACATATCCATGGTGCCTGGTTATCTTGGACTGTGAAAGTTATTTGTGGTGACTCCCCCAGGCAAATGCATTCATTTCCATCATGCCTTTAAGGCACTTCTGGCTCAGTACCTCAAATAAATTCAAAACTTGAGATTTCTTGGACCATCAAGTCTAATGTGAATTAAACTACAAACCCATGGTTGCAAACACTCAGGGAGAGGGGTTTCTGTTTTTTCTTTTCTTTTTTTTAAATATTTTGGTGTTTTTTGAGACAGAGTCTTGCTATATAACCCAGCCTAGCCTCAAAACAGTGATCTTCCTTCCTCATCCTCCCAAGTGCTGGTATTACAGCCGTGTGCCACCATGCCCAGCTGAGAGGGTTTACTTCACTTCCCTTTTTTGTTCTTCCCTGCTTTGCTCAGAGCAAGAACTTATGCTGAGAACTTAGGAAGTGGCTAATCCTTTCCAGAGAGTGCAGCCTTTGTGGTCCAGGCCTACTTATGAGATCGCCTATTACACTTCTTGTTGACTTGTTGACTTCATCAAAGAAAGTACAAGTCTGCTGCCATGGGCAGGCAAGCCCGTTGAAAGCAAAGTGGCCTCAAGTTCTCCTCTAAACACTTACCTGACACTTTCTCTTAAATTAGGTCTAATCGTTCTTTTCTATCTTCTCAGTACTTTATGAAATTTTTTTTAAATCTAGAAATTTAATTGTTTTCAGTGAAGAGGTGGTCTGAATAATCTCTCCTAATATTAGAAACCCCAAATCCATGGACTTTCTAACTCTAAAATGTAATCCAAATATATTACTGCACTGAATTCATGAAATTGTCATGAGAGTATTTAATTCCCTGGATTTCTAATGCCAACTTCACCTACCAATCATTATTTAAGAATCACCAAATGTTAAGTGCTAGAGGGGTTGCTGGAATCAATATTTAGTCTCAATTCATAAATCAGGAATCTAAAGTTCAAAACACAGACTTCCATGGTACAGCACCCTCATAACAATTACACTTACAAACAGAAGGGGTTACTGGGCATCTAAAATGCCCGCACTGCTAGATTCCACCTGCTATATTGCCTTGCTCTGACACACAGATACATCCATATTTCACAACGTTTTCCAACGCACAGCCTCAGGACACAGCCAGCAACTCTCCTCCCATCAGAAAGTATGCTCTAAGTTTCAGGGAGGCCCTCGTCGTGTTTCTCAGCAACTAAAGCAGTAGCTAACACTCCACTGAATTCCCATTACCTGTTGTGGCAAGGACGACGTGTGGCCCACTCCCATAGCTGAGGCAGGCTATCTTTTTGCCACTTAAGGAATCCAGTCTCCGAGGCTCAATAGTGCTCTGGACATCACCTAGCCCCAGACAGCCACTGCAGTTTGTGCCCAGCACAAAGATCTGTTGGAAAACCACTGTCAGTTCAAGTAGGTTCATTTCTGACAAGCCTATAAATTCAATTACCTCAAATACACACAGCAAACCACCATCATCAAACCACTTCATCATAGAATACAAAGAAACTTTCCATACTGTTTTTTAAACCTTGACTCCTTAATTCCCCAAGGTCTTCATTTTAATAAATCCATTACTAAAAATGGGGATGGCTGGATGTTTTTCTTCAAAATTACCTCATCATTTACTGTAGTATATAAAGCTTCATTGCCAGCACTGCCAAAGACACAAGCCTGACGAATTAACTGCAATTCTTCCTCAGAACAAAGGGAAAAGATTGGCCACTTTCCCACATCTAGCATCTTCAGTGATGACAAAGTAGCCTGCACTGGCTGAAAAGGAAAAAAAAAAAGTATATATATATATATATACATATATATATATATATATATACACACACACACACACACACAACTCAATTTTCTTTGCCCCCTTTACTTCTGCAGAGGAGGATTAAAACCAAGTTAAAAAGGAATAAGCCATATGTATTTGTATGTATTTCTGAGAACCTCTCACAGCTGCAGAATCACCCCCAAGCCCAGCTGCCTCAATACAGCTCTCACACCAACCAGGCGCCAGAGGCCAGGATGGAATCAGATCTCACCTCCTAATTTTCCTCTAGGACACAGGAGTCATCCAAGATTAAATCTTGGGGAGCCAAATGTTTAGCAAGTACCTTAAATATTGGCTATGTCTTAAACATAGCTGCAGAAAACAGGCTGGTTCTAAAAGCAAGAAAAGACTGACGGAGAGAGATTGGAGGGAGGACAACCACTTTATCTGCTGTCTTAGTCCTAACAAAATGAGTTCTTGGAAAAGAACAATGCTGAAGGTGACACCAGTGAAATGTTTCAGCTCCTGGGCAAGCTTCTCCTGACCTTCAGTTTAAGGTATTGCTAGGTTTACACACACACACACACACACACACACACACACACACACACACACACACACACACCACTCAGGTTTCGGATTGTTCAGAAGAAACACCCAGAAAGCGCACACACACACACACACACACACACACACACACAACACACACCACTCAGGTTTCGGATTGTTCAGAAGAAACACCCAGAAAGCACAGATATTAATTTGCTAGGGCAGCTGTAACAACTAATAACTAGATGGCTTATAACAGAAACTTATTGTCTAACAGTTTTGGAGACTAAAAATTCAAGATCAAGGTATCAGCAAGTTTGGCTCCTTCTAAGGGTTGTGGGGAAAGATCCACTCCAGGCTTCACTTCTTGGCTGGTAGATAGCTGACTTCTCTGTTCACATTGTTGACCTGTATGTGTATCTCTGTGTCCAAATTTCTCCTTCTTATAAGGACACCAGTCAGACTGCATTAGCACCCTCCCTAATGACCTCATCTTAATTATATCTAGAATTACTCCATTTCCAAACAAGTTGCATTCAGGGTTGGGGTTGGGGCTCTAGTGATAGAGTACATGCTAGCAAGCGCAAGGCCCTGAGTTCAATTCTCAATAGTGCCTAATAAGTTGTATTCTGAGGTACTGAGTATTAGAGAACTTCAACATATAAATTTTGGAAGGCCACAATAAGCTCATAACAGCATATAATTAAGATCATGAATATCTGTATTTCCCAAAGAGCATTAAATGCGCACATTATAAAGTTGTCTTAAAAGAGAGTTTTTACTTATTTGGCACACTGGAAACATTTTTACTTACATACTTTTCAGCTTCTAAAAATTTTGAATATTACAATAAAATGCATAAACAACAAATATGCCACAAAATAGCATGTGTGTCCATCACTTGACTTAATGGAGCAGAATTTTCTGGCCTTTCTCATCAGCTATTAAATTCACCTTATAGGAATGAATTCTGATACAGGTGTAAGTGGGTCAGCCACTTATTTTCTACAGATCTGAGAGAATATTTGTTCTATCCACCTCGGGAGTCAGTTGAGAATGTCTGAGAGCACAATCAGCAAGGCTGCTTTTCCAAAGTCCACACCAATGGCCCCATCCTCATTACCATGAGTTACCCAGGCCCACCTTCACAGACTGCTCAAGTACAGTTCACAAGGACAGAGAGTCATTCTCTTTCACCACCATGCATTGGTTCCTTGAATAGGGTTAAGTACACAAAAAATATTGGTTAAACAAACAAATAAATGTTTGAATGGATGGCTCCACTTTCAGATTCAGAACCTGCCCTCCAATCCCACCTTCTGTAACTCCAACACCTGGTCCCTCCAGGGATTGAAGCAGGTATTCTCTGCTTCAATTGTCCCCATTTCTATTTCACCTAAGTCATCTTACCAAACACTACTCTATTATCAAGATCTCAAATTTTGAAGTTCATTCTGACCACAGCCAACAATACTAAACATGAATCCAAAGTAAGTTCTACAGTGAGGCTACAAAGCATCATAGTGGTCCCAAAGACCACTGACCTTGCAACAGAAGACAAGCAGAGCCACCATCATTTTCTTGAAGTTATAGTGGTCCCTTGGTATCCCCTAAAGACTGATTCCAATATACTCTCGGGTTCAAAAAATCCAAAGATGCTCAAGTCCCTTATGCAAAATCGCATTCTGTTTGCATATAACCTACATACATCTTCCCACATACTTTCAATCTTATCTAGATTACTTATAATCTCAAAGACAATGTAAATGCTATGCAAACAGTTAATATAATGCATTATTAGGGAATAATGATAGTAAAAGCACAAGTATCACAGGCCTAACTATACAAAACACAAATGAGACTTGAGGCAAACAAGCTCAAACAATGAGTGCTGGAGAGACTGAATCTGTGAAGTGGCAGGAAGCTGCAATGGGGTGTACCCACATATCACTTTATTCAAATGGATTCAGTGGCATACAACAAATTCAAGCCTTGCTTTTGGAAACTTTCTGGACTTTCCTCCCCTCACTCAAAGACTTTCAATCTGCAGTTGGTTGAATCTATGCATGTGGAACTGGTAGACACCGGTAGATAGAGGACCAACTAAATAGCTTTGTAAAGCCTCCCATCTTTTCTGAGCAATGTTCATGGAACTACCAAATGGCATGGCTAAAGAGATCTAAAGATCATTTTATAGCTGAGAAACCTGAAGAAGGGCCAGAGTGAGGCTGTAGTTGGCTGAATGGTACTCCCCCAAAATCCAAAACTTCTGAAACCTCAGGGGGGGTCCTTATCTGGAAATCAGGTCTTTGCAGATGTGAGGAGTTAAGGTGAAGTCATACTGGATTAGGGTAGGCCCTAAATCCAATGACTAATGTCCTTATGAGGAGAGAAGAGGGCACACAGAGACACACAGGGAAGACCAAGTGACCACGGAGTCACAGACTGGAGTGATGCATCTGTAAGTCAACAAAGACTGATGGCAGCAGCTAGGAGATTCTTTCCTCTTCAGAGGGAGCACATCCCTGATGAGGTCTTGATTGCAGACTTCTAGTCTCCAGACTGTGAGAGAATAAACTTCTGTTGTTTTAAGCTACCTGATTTTTGTTAATTTGTTACAGCAGCCCTAGAAATTAACACAGAGGCTGAGCAGCTCGTAACCAACAGCATCACCCCACGAGTTAGGCAGAGCGGATCCCGATGCCATGTTCCCCCGGCACGCCAAGGGAATCAGAAGGCCCTGGGCCAGGAACGATGCTTTCGATTATTTCTTTTCAGCAGCAGCAACAGCTGGTTCTCCTGCTCAGTTCTGAAGCAGCAGTTACTGTTCCACAATTACTTTAATCATGAGAGCCTTTTACAAAACAGTATGACTGGATATTCTCTGCAAAACAACCTTAATTTGAAATTTGGAATTTTTTCTTATGTCTCATGTATATAGGAAGCAACAATTATATGACAGATCCCTGTTTTTATTATATGTATATTTTAGGAACACAAAGACTATGTAATGACATAGGAATCCAAGAGTTTTTTTATTTTATTTTATTTTTTTTAATTTTTTAATTTTTCAAGAGTTTTTTTATTAAAAAAAGAATTCTTGGGTGAATTCAACTATGATATATTTGAAGAACTTTTGTAAATGTCACAATGTATCCCTAGTACAATATTTAAAAGAAAAAAAAAGAATTTTTTTCTCCTCTGAGAGACATTTTGTTTACTGAAAGAAAAGCAAGGCCCAAGGCAACTATACAGTGGAGGACAGAATCATGTTATATTAGATTTCAATCTAAATTTCTACTTTAAGTTACCTATCTTCTTATATCATGAAGGAATCTAATTTTCTATGAGGTCTCCTCTTTTTATTCTTTCCTTCGGTGTATTTCAAGAAGAGCCAAGTTTGGAAAGTAGTATTAAATATCTAATGCAGATGTATTAATGTCCTAGTTACAGAGTTCTTATATATTATTTCTAATCTTCAGGACATAGATACTGCTAGCTGCCTTTTACATATGTGGAAACTGAGGCACAGAAAGACTAAGTATTCCTACAAGATCAGTAGCTTTGAAGTGGGTGAGCCCAGATTTGTCTGCACACATCGTCTGCTTGCTGAGTAAGAAGTTCACATACAGTGTCACAGTACTGGTAGCCCAGTGTTTGCTCGCATTTACACAGAGTCCCAATGCCCACTTTGGGCTGTCTTCCACAAACAGGGCAGGCGGCAATATGCAAAGGCTGATTGCTGCCTCATTTTTTCTCCTTTCAAGCAGATTTTTGGATTTCATCCTGTCCTGCTACAAAATCAAATGGCTTCCTGGATGCCTAGATTCAGACTGTAAACTCTAGCCAGCTTGTAAACACCTGTCTACAAGTCATTAGGCCACATGTACAAATATCTAAAGTACCCTCCCATGACTGTGACTACTAGAATCTGAGTGCGTGTGTGCGCGCAAGCGTGCGCCTGTGTGTTTAATGTAGCCTGCAGTCTGTACATTTATTAAAAGATGCCACTGGTCAAGGCACAGGCAGGTATGATAGGTAGTATCTTTGAACAAAGATTCAAAAATAAGATATAATCGTTCCCTTCTAGGAAGTCACAATTCAATGGAAAATAAGTAATTACAATAAAGTAATAAAGTAATTACTAAAAAAGTAATAAAAAGTAATAAAGTAATAAGTAATTACAATAAAGTAATAAAGTAATTACTTTAGCCTAAGTACACCAGACAAGTCAATACAGTGCTATTTAAATCTGTCAGATGCTGGTTGCTGGACATTGGTCATCAAAGACCTATGGGTTTAAGCCTGTGAGGAGACTGTTGCATAGGAAAGTGATCACTTAATTTACAAAATGCATATATTTATACTTTTTTGAAGTAAATACTTAACAGTAGTCTCAGGAATTATGGCCTCTTTGTTCACAGAAGAATACATGCTTCTGCCCAACACGCTCATGAAACAAGGTGCAAAAATTCACCACACAGTACTTGTAAGATCCTGCATGCTGGTAGTGTCTCTGCAGAGGTCCCCAGCTGCTCTGTGTCCCACTGTCAGGGAAAAGACTGACTGAGCAAGAGCTGGGCAAGGACAAGAGACAAACTTGTGCGGAGAAACAAGGGCTCTGGGGAAATAAGAGTCTGGTAATATTCATCATTACGATTGTGTCCCTAGAATTCAGTACTAGAGTGGCCCAGGTCCACCCTCTCCAGCATAAGCCCAGGCCAGTGTTCTTTTACTACTGAGCTTACATGCAGTCTACCTCCCCCAGGGGTAGCTGGCATTCTTTGGGAAATGCAAAATAGTGAGACTTTCTTAAAGAAAATATAACACAGGAAATAGATCTGCCATAAAAGTAGAGATTGAGATCATCCTACTAGTCCTTTGAGTATGTGTTCCCAGTATAGCCATGCTTCTGCATCAATATGGGGAATACACTGGATGACCACACTTCACTTGATTACAGACAACTGCCAAGTTGTCACAACTCAATTTAAAATACAGCCCAAGAACATCAGGCATGACAGTATATGCCTGTAATCCCAGCACTATGGACAGAGGCTGAGGCAGGAGAACAAGAGCTTGGGAACAGCCTGGACTACAATAGTGAGTTTTAGGCCAGCCTGGACTATAAAGCAAGACACTGTCTCAAAATGCCAAAATAAATATATTAATTAATTAAAATATATCCTGTGAAAATTGAACCAAAAATTACATGTTGGGCATGCCTAGAAAACAATTTTTTAAGGGAAAAAAATAATAACTTATCTTTTGAGGACTTCCTAGCAGTCCTCACACTTTGTATGTGAATTTGATCCTATGAATCTATTATTTCGTGAAATCTTTTTCCAGGGAAAATTAAGAACTTTTAAATTAGTATTTTATAAGTCTCTCGAGCTCTATCATTACTTTTAAAGCTACTTTTGGACAATCCTACACAGTGATCATACTTTGAGTCAGCCACAGTAAGGCTGCGGTTGAGTTTCAAAGACTTTGCTTTCTTTGTGCATTATGCTAGTTCTGTATAATTATATTTGCATCTTTTATTAAATTTTGACCTTTTATTTAAAAAGAGTATAAAAGCAACAAAAGAAAGTGACAGTTAATATTAAGCTGTTCAATGGTGATGAGCAGATAGTTTGTAAATTTAATAAAATAACACAAGACAGGAATCCATAGACACGCTGAAAGATGTGAAACTTTAGTATCAGTTGGGCACTGGCTGAACTTAAGCTGGTTGACTGTAATATTCAAATGTGATGGAAAAGAATAAATTAAAGGATACCTATAATGAATTAAGAACATATCTTCTGAAATTACATATTTTATACATACTTTTAATCTTTGGGAAAGTAATGAGTATTGTTCAATTCAGACCTCTTTTCAGGAGAGCACCATTTGTGACTGCAGGTCTGTACTCCTAATCTAGCACACATATCACTGTCTCTGGGAATCCTTTCTCTTCCCCTCAAATGATATCAGTTCCTTGCCAAGTGTCAGTGGCTCACACCTGTAATCCTGTAATCCTACTTTAGAGGCCAAGATCAGGAGGATCAAGGTTCAAAGCCAGCCCAGGCAATAGTTCATGAGACCCCATGTCCTAAATAACCAGAGTGAAATGGACTGGAGGTGTGGCTCAAGCAATGCTATCAGTTCCCTACTGGACCCTTCAGCATCCTACACCCCACAGTAATGATCTACTGGTATGTCAGTCACTCACTGTGAGCCCCTCACAGATGGACACCAGCCCACGAATCAGGTGACCAAAACATATTTGATGAAGTATATTTCATGCAACAGAATACACATGCTCCAAGGGCATGCTTTATTCTAACCTTGCCACCTTCTCCATAGAAAAGAGGAAGTTCTTCTTCCATATGGACTCAGTCTTGTGAGGTCCCTGAAGAAAAAGTATGTGGTACAATCAGGATACCATATATCAAATGAAACTAGGCAGAATAAAAATTACTTCTAAACCAGGCACCTGTAGTCTTGGTACTTGGGAGGCTGAGGCAGGAAGACTGCTTTGTGGGCAACATAAATAGACCTGAGAACCCAAATTAAAAAAAAAGCAAAGAAATTACTTTACTTCTAATTAACAGGTAAGATAAGTGAAGCTCACATTATGGTGAAGGAAAGAGAGAAGGGAATTAAGTTTTAGGCATTGGAGTTCACAGCTATAAAACCCATAAGATGTCTTAACTATTATGGAACTATCATGGGAGTCATCCTGCTGAGGTCTGGAAAAGTAATCCCAACATAAATGTAGGCCCTCTTGTTTATAAGGAAATAAGTAGAACATTTTCATTTCAGAGTTTACTTTGTATAAGTAAAGAAAAATAAATTTGAGACCTTGGTCAAATTTTCTCTGGGATCAGAAAGTTCCAAATCACTGTGAAGACCAGACTTGTCAATTTTCAGCTCCACTGAGGAATATATGATTTGCTAAGCTGGAGGGGGGGAAAAAATGAATGAGTGAATGAATGAATATGAATTTTTTATCTTGGACTTTAACAAAAAAGTCTGAAATAACAACCACCAAGTATGCAGCAAGAGCACTGAATGTTCTTGCCTTGCTAACCATCTCATAATGATTCCTTGTCACCATGAGGAAGTGACCACAGGATCTGAAGTGACAGCAGGAGCAGCCCTCTGGGAAGAGAAGCAGCATGTCTGCATTGCGGTTCAGTCATTACACAGTTAACTATCTCATCACCAAATTAAATATAAATAAAATATTATCTCTCCCAAAGCAACTTAATAAAACTGTATCTAGTAATGTTAAATTTTTTTTTGGTAATTGACTAGGTTGTATCCAATTTACTTAAATACAATCTATATTTCAAGTACTAACATCAGAACACTTTATCTTATATTTGTTGCAGTACACTAAGAACCTTACAAGACACCTGAATAGACCTATAACACAAAATGAAATTGAAGCATCAATCAAGAGTCTCCCCAAAAAGAAAAGTCCAGGACCTGATGGATTCTCTGATGAATTCTATCAGACCTTTAAAGAAGAACTGATACCAACCCTCCTTAAACTGTTCCACGAAATAGAAAGGGAAGGAAAACTGCCTAACACATTTTATGAAGCCAGTATTACACTTATCCCAAAACCAGGCAAAGACACCTCCAAAAAGGAGAACTATAGGCCAATCTCCTTAATGAACATTGACGTAAAAATCCTCAACAAAATAATGGCAAACCGAATTCAACAACACGTCAAAAAGATTATTCACCACGACCAAGTAGGCTTCATCCCAGGGATGCAGGGGTGGTTCAACATACGAAAATCAATAAACGTAATAAACCACATTAACAGAAGCAAAGACAAAAACCACTTGATCATCTCAATAGATGCAGAAAAAGCCTTTGATAAGATCAAACACCATCTCATGATAAAAGCTCTAAGAAAACTAGGAATAGAAGAAAAGTACCTCAACATTATAAAAGCTATATATGACAAACCTACAGCCAGCATTATACTTAACGGAGAAAAACTAAAACCATTCCCTCTAAAATCAGGAACCAGACAAGGATGCCCACTATCTCCACTCCTATTCAACATAGTACTGGAATTCCTAGCCAGAGCAATTAGGCAAGAAGAAGGAATAAAAGGAATACAAATAGGTAAAGAAACTGTCAAAATATCCCTATTTGCAGACGACATGATCCTATACCTTAAAGACCCAAAAAACTCTACTCAGAAGCTTCTAGACATCATCAATAGCTATAGCAAGGTAGCAGGATATAAAATCAACATAGAAAAATCATTAGCATTTCTATACACTAACAATGAGCAAACTGAAAAAGAATGTATGAAAACAATTCCATTTACAATAGCCTCAAAAAAATCAAATACCTAGGTGTAAACCTAACAAAAGATGTGAAAGACCTCTACAAGGAAAACTATACACTTCTGAAGAAAGAGATTGAGGAAGACTATAGAAAGTGGAGAGATCTCCCATGCTCATGGATTGGTAGAATCAACATAGTAAAAATGTCGATACTCCCAAAGTAATCTACATGTTTAATGCAATTCCCATCAAAATTCCAATGACATTCATTAAAGAGATTGAAAAATCTACTGTTAAATTTATATGGAAACACAAGAGGCCACAAATAGCCAAGGCAATACTCAGTCAAAAGAACAATGCAGGAGGTATCACAATATCTGACTTCAAACTATATTACAAATCAGTAACAATAAAAACAGCATGGTACTGGCACAAAAACAGACATGAAGACCAGTGGAACAGAATAGAGGACCCAGATATGAAGCCACACAACTATAACCAACTTGTCTTTGACAAAGGAGCTAAAAATATACGATGGAGAAATAGCAGCCTCTTCAACAAAAACTGCTGGGAAAACTGGTTAGCAGTCTGCAAAAAACTGAAACTAGATCCATGTATATCACCCTATACCAAGATTAACTCAAAATGGATCAAGGATCTTAATATCAGACCACAAACTCTAAAGTTGATAGAGGAAAGAATAGGAAATACTCTGGAGTTAGTAGGTATAGGTAAGAACTTTCTCAATGAAACCCCAGCAGCACAGCAACTAAGAGATAGCATAGATAAATGGGACCTCATAAAACTAAAAAGCTTCTGTTCATCAAAAGAAATGGTCTCTAAACTGAAGAGAACACCCACAGAGTGGGAGAAAATATTTGCCAGCTACACATCAGACAAAGGACTGATAACCAGAATATATAGGGAACTTAAAAAACTAAATTCTCCCAAAACTAATGAACCAATAAAGAAATGGGCAAGTGAACTAAACAGAACTTTCTCAAAAGAAGAAATTCAAATGGCCAAAAAACACATGAAAAAATGCTCACCATCTCTAGCAATAAAGGAAATGCAAATTAAAACCACGCTAAGATTCCACCTCACCCCTGTTAGAATAGCCATCATTAGCAACACCACTAACAACAGGTGTTGGCGAGGATGCAAGGAAAAAGGTGGGAATGTAAACTAGTACAACCACTCTGGAAAAAAATTTGTAGGCTACTTAAAAAGCTAGACATCGATCTACCATTTGATCCAGCAATACCACTCTTGGGGATATACCCAAAAGACTGTGACACAGGTTACTCCAGAGGCACCTGCACACCCATGTTTATTGCGGCACTATTCACAATAGCCAAGTTATGGAAACAGCCAAGATGCCCCACCACTGACGAATGGATTAAGAAAATGTGGTATCTATACACAATGGAATTTTATGCAGCCATGAAGAAGAACGAAATGTTATCATTCGCCGGTAAATGGATGGAATTGGAGAACATCATTCTGAGTGAGGTTAGCCTGGCCCAAAAGACCAAAAATCTTATGTTCTCCCTCATATGTGGACATTAGATCAAGGGCAAACACAACAAGGGGATTGGACTTTGAGCACATGATAAAAGCGAGAGCACACAAGGGAGGGGTGAGGATAGGTAAGACACCTAAAAAATTAGCTAGCATTTGTTGCCCTTAACGCAGAGAAACTAAAGCAGATACCTTAAAGCAACTGAGGCCAATAGGAGAAGGGGACCAGGAACTAGAGAAAAGGTGAGATCAAAAAGAATTAACCTAGAAGGTAACACACACACACAGGAAATTAATGTGAGTCAATGCCCTGTATAGCTATCCTTATCTCAACCAGCAAAAACCCTTGTTCCTTCCTATTATTGCCTATACTCTCTCTACAACAAAATTAGAAATAAGGGCAAAATAGTTCCTGCTGGGTATTGAGGGGGGGGAGAGGGAGGGGGCAGAGTAGGTGGTAAGGGAGGGGGTGGGGGCAGGGGGGAGAAATGACCCAAGCCTTGTATGCACATATGAATAATAAAATAAAATAAAAAGAACCTTACAAGAGATAAAAACAATAATCAGAGGGCTGGAGGTGTGGTTCAAGTAGTAGAGCACCTGCCTGGCAAGCACAAGGTCCTGAGTTCAAACCCCAGCACCATCAATAAAAAACAAAAAGCAATAATCAAATGAGGTCTGTTTTTTATATGTATATAATATGACAACATGTCATTGGCAACTGACCATTTACTACTAAGGCCATGTCTAAGAACTTCTAAACTTCTAAAACCAGTTTTAGTTTTTTATCTTAAAAAACCTTTTCTTAATTGTGAAAAAAATACTAGGTCAACTCTTTTTTGGAGGGTAGGGGTTACTGGGCTTTGAACTTGGGACCCTGCACTGTAGGTGAAGGTGAAATCTTAACAGTGGTCCTTAACAGTGTTTTATGCATCTTTGAGGATATTAGTAATTTTTTTCAGCAGCTGTAAATACGTCTCTCAGAATATAAGGTAAGCAACAATAATATATTCAGAAAAATTACAATGCAACTATGGTGCTTAGTAGCAAATATGTATGTATGCATTTATTTATTTTTACAGTACTGAGGATTAAACCTAGGGCTTTGCACTACCTAGGTATCATTATTTCTGATGTCTAGAAACAAGTAAAAAAGACATGCTTATCTTTAAAAGGAGTCCTTAGAAGATTCTCACTTGTAAATTTCTAAAACTTGACCTTGTTACAATATGGAACGATATTTTGCAATATTTAATCAATACTACATTTTATCTATGTCATTTTAGCATACCTATTTAAATCCTAACTTACTGTAAAGCTCAGTATGGCCGCCACTGAATTTCACATCAATGTGATTCCACAACACTTTGTTTTTTTTTTTACTTCATTAATGGTAGTTTTCATATTCTGCCTCATGTGTTGCTGTTGTTCTTATATGATTTACATTCTCTTTTAATTTGCAAACTCTTTGAGTGGACCATGATTTGCTTCTATCACCACCACAACACAGATCAGAGCAGAATATACTGTATACCCTGAAATAGCTTTAGCAAGTTGGAAGAGTGGCTCAAGTGGT